ATGTCGGGTCAATTTTAGCAAACCAACGACATATATATAATGATTATAACCTTTTTGAATATTTACTGCCGAAGGTGTTTCATTTATATTCGGAGGACAGGCTTGATTTTGGCAGGACTGGTAAAAAATTTGACCTGCCAGTCCTGTGGACAGGCTAGATTTTCTACATCTTTCCTACACTGCCCATGGTCCCAAGAACATCGAGTTAACAAGGTTTGACATTGGTGAAGAAACGGCGCTTCAATGTCAGGCAAACAACTGAATGTAGCATTTATAACATGCAACATAATGTAACAATGTCTTGAAGAAGCCAAAACATAGCATGCTAATATTTAACCTGGAGAAAAGCCCTCCACATGCTTAAAATATATTACAAATCCATCTGTAGATTTTAAGCTTTGAATGCAAGGTCTTGTTAAAACTGACATAACTCCTATCATCCAATTAAAGAATGAATTTTACGTCTTAAGTGAGAGCCATGTTCAAAATAGCTTGTGTATAAATAAATCTCAAGGCGTAACATGGAAGGACATTACGTTCAGTTGTTCAAGGACATTGTGAGAGTGGACAAGGTCGTCAGGCCTTGCTTGCAGGTAATCTCAACTACACAATGATATAATATATGCTAGTTACTTCTTGCTGATTTCCAAACTGAAAGGCAATCGTTTTATTGGCATTAAAGAAACATAACTAATCAGTAGCAATACCAAATAATATCATACAAACTTTTAGCAAAACAAAAGGACTACTGTCACTGCCAATCTCATTCAAATCTGATCTTAGTGTTCTCTCCGACTACACCAAAAATCTGACATCATCCTAATACAGTTCACGTCAGAACAACCATTCGCAAACATTGACTTACCAGTGAAATGACTTATAGGATGTCAGTTAGGTTTACAGCACTAGATTCAAAATAGCAACTTCCATTTCCAGATCTGAGTCAGTACTTCCCATGGGATAAGGAAAGTCTTCTGTGCCAAAACCTTTAACTCGTTTGGAAACCATTATGCTAACTTCATGAGGTTGAAAGATCAGAAAACACATGCAGACTCTCAGTATCTACGTCTGGTAAAGGATGATGCTAAGATTGGTCAAGGTTCATTCTGATGTATCCTGTAACTGGATGTACTCACGTGAGTGTGTAGCAGAAGCAATCAGCAGGGGTTCAATTTTTTTTTAAAAAGCCACTTGCCACTTTACAGAATACTAACTTAACTACACAAGGTCCTATTATTTCTACTTTAATCCAATTTCTACAAGATCTAGAATGTGTACAGCCATTTAATTGTTTTAATAGGCACTTATGACATACAAAATAGTTCAAGGTATTTGTAATTATTTCACAGATCTGGGATCAAATAAGAAATCTGCAACAAGATCCAAATGTAAAGAACAGTTGATTTATTCCTCCATCTCTGACATTTAACAGTAAAATCCTCAGAAGAAGATCAATAACACAACCAGCAGGGAAGTGTGAGTGAGTGGGTTGGGTTTTGTACCAATTTTAGCAATATCACAATATTATAGCCATATCACAGCAGGGACACTCGAAATGGGCTTCACAGATTGTACCCATGTGTGGAGTCAAACTAGGCCTTTGGTGTGACGAGTGAACGCTTTAATCAGTAGGCTACCCCACAGCCCCACAGTGTTAGTGAGAGCTAGAAAGTAAGCACATCAGTGTTATTTCAGCCATATACTGCAATGGGACCAAGTTTGTACACATATGGAAGTACTTTTTATTCTTTCCATTTTTGGGGCTTCAACAATACTTTTGAGATCTTTCTCTAATTTATTATATTTCTGTCTTGATGCCTGATGCTTTCAAGTTTTCTTTGAAATCTGTAAACAAGTTACAACAGGCACAGTGATTGATGATCATTGTAACCTTAACCATCAAACAACTCAAATCTAACTGCAAATTAAAACATGCTTAAATCTAATTGCTAGATAACACACAAATATTAGTTCATGCAAACAAATTAATTGAATCTCGCAGAGAACATGTAGAAAGAGAAGATTTGAAGTTGATGAGATATATAACCTCATGCATATTCAGCTAGATACTGAAGCCTTCCTTACACGCTGAATGAACGTAGTATACAAGGACTAAAGAGAACTAAAGAGAACTAAGATGCAAGAACACAATGAGAGATTATACTTACTGTCTTGGAACTTTCCTGAAGAGTAATATTAGTACAACAGTAGACTCATCTTAGTCGTAAAGTATTGTGCATTGTGTGCAGTTGGCTCAAACAGGTGTGTCAAGCTGCAGGGTATTATAAGATATTGGAGGAACATTCATTCGCATTCTCTTCCCACAGAGGTTACTTGTCATATCTTCCTACGAACCTCTGTTCTAATACGGCCCTTTTATGGTGCAAGTGTTCAGGATTCGTAATTGGTTGCAATCAGATTTAGTTGTGCAATCAGCGATGTTTCAAAAGCGATCATTCGCAAGGCCTCAGTAATTTGCATATGCTTCGGGAAAAATATAACCTCTTCCCCTGCGCGATGCGCAAATGCTTCTTCTAGACAAAACTCATTTAATGGCAGATCAATGGCGTCTCCATCGCCTTCGTTGACAACGGACAAGCTAGCCATTAAATGCCTTGTGTGTCACATCAACACAAGTCCTCGGCTGAGGAGGGATATTTGTGGCTCCACATTTGCTTGTATTAGTCAAGCTGGATCTAAGTTGATGTAACACGTGTTCTGACTGGATAGAAAGAAGGGAGATAATTTGTTTGCGATTTTTGGCCGCTAGGGGATTTTACGAAATATGGTCGTATTAGAACAGAGGTTCATAGGAAGATATGACAAGTAACCACTGTGGGAAGAGAATGATTCATCCTAGGAACTGACAATTTCACGTCTCTGTTGGGGGCTGGTGGGGCTGTGTGTCAAGGTTACTTACTAGGCTGAAGGGGCTCTCTGCCTGGTGGGACTGGGTGTTTGGGGGCTGGAGCTGGTGGATCTGGGTGTTTAGGGGCCAGGGCTGGTGGGGCAAGGTGCATTGGGCTGAAGCTTGGATGGGTGTCTTGGGGTTTGGGGTTTATGGGGTCTGGGTGTTTAGGGGCCAGGGCTGGTGGGGTAAGGCGCATTGGGCTGAAGCTTGGCTGGGTGTTTTGGGGCTGGGGGGTTTGGGTTTATGGGGGCTGGATGTTTAGGGGCCAGGGCTGGGCTGGTGGGGCTAGGTGCATTGGACTGAGGCTTGGCCTGGTGTCCTGGGGCTGTTGGGTCTGGATGTATTGGATCTGGGTCTGGGTGTTTAGGATCTGGGTCTGGGTATTTAGGGTCTAGGTCTGGGTGTATTAGATCTGGATCTGGGTGTTTAGGATCTGGGTATTTAGGGTCTGGGTGTTTATGGTCTGGGTCTGAGTGTAATGGGCCTGGGTCTGGGTTTTTAGGTCCTGGGTCTGGTTGTATTGGAGCTGGATCTGGGTGTTTATGGTCTTGGTCTAGGTCTGGGTATTTATGGTCTGGGTCTAGGTTTATTGGGACTGGGTCTGGGTGTTTATGGTCTGGGTCTAGGTCTGGGTATTTAGGGTCTTGGGGTATTGGGACTGGGTCTTGGTGTTTATGGTCTGGGTCTGGGTGTTTATGGTCTGGGTCTGGGTGTTTGGGGTCTGGGTGTATTGGATCTGGGTCTGGGTGTTTATGGTCTGGGTCTGGGTGTATTGGGCCTGGGTCTTGGTGTTTATGGTCTGGGTGTTTATGGTCTGGGTATTTAGGGCCTGGGTCTAAGTCTGGGTATTTAGGGTCTGGGTCTGGGTGTATTGGGCCTGGGTCTGGGTGTTTATGGTCTGGGTCTGGGTGTATTGGGCCTGGGTCTGGGTGTTTATGGTCTGGGGTGGGACTGGGTCTGTGTATTGGGACTGGGTCTGGGTGTTTTTATGGTCTGGGTGTTTATGGTCTGGGGTCTGGGTGGGTTGGGCCTGGGTCTGGGTGTTTATGGTCTGGGTCTGGATGTATTGGGACTGGGTCTGGGTGTTTATGGTCTGGGTGTTTATGGTCTGGGTATTTAGGGCCTGGGTCTAGGTCTGGGTATTTAGGTCCTGGGTCTCGGTGTATTGGGCCTGGGTCTGGGTGTTTATGGTCTGGGTATTTAGGGCCTGGGTGTAGGTCTGGGTATTTAGAGTCTGGGTCTGGGTGTTTATGGTCTGGGTCTGGGTGTATTGGGCCTGGGTCTGGGTGTTTATGGTCTGGGTATTTAGGGCCTGGGTCTAGGTCTGGGTATTTAGGGTCTGGGTGTCTTGGGGCTGGTGGGTCAAGGTGTTTAGGGGCTAGGGCTGAGGCTGGGGTTGGGACTGGGTGTTTAGGGTCTGGGTGTGGGTCTGGGTGTCCCTACGGCAAGGGCAGGGCTGCATCTCGGCCAGTGGGGATAGGGGTGGCAGGGACTTTTTTGTGACACAATATCTATTTGCGTATTTATAAACAATCCCAGGCCCATCTGAGAATATCAAATGGTCAGCTCCAATATCATTTCCATACACAGGCAAACAATTAAACAACTGTTGTAGTCATGCATCTGAAGCTTAGAACATGCAAGCTGCATTTGTCTACTGATCATATTTATACAATTAAAATTATGATAGAATTATTACAGAGAATGTTTTTATTGTTTTTGTTTGAACAAAATATGAGAAGCAAATGGGCTCAGCTATTTTTGAGTTTTAAAGAATGAAAATAATTGAGGCAAAGCATTCTGCAACATCTACAAATAAATTCCACAACCGAATCTAATATGGAGATCAAATTTTCTATATAAAAATGTTAATTAGAATTAACAATATTATCATGTGCCCAATATAAGTTGTAAAGTCAACAGTTAAAATAATGCATGAAACATGAAAACCAACTGGTGTGTGTCATTGATTAAAAATACATGCACATCTGTAAGACAGTTCAAAGCATGCACAATTTGCACTTACATGCTTAAGGAAATATTACTGTATTTCAATATTTGTTTAACCTTATATGTGGCAAATACTCACTGGCTTCCCCTGAACGGTTGACTCAAGAGCGTCTACTAGATCGGCAGTTATTCCTATCAGGTTATGGTAGTCAGCCTGCAACATAGCATCAATAGCTGGTGTAAATGTTGATATCAACTCACCTCCCCTAATATGGTAAACTACTTCACTAACATCATAATAATCGTGAGTGAGGTGAGTGAGTGAGTGAGTGCGTGAGTGAGTGAGTGAGTGAGTGAGTGAGTGAGTGAGTGAGTGAGTGAGTGAGTGAGTGAGTGAGTGAGTGAGTGAATTTATTTTTACACCGCACTCAGCAATATTGCAATCATATGGCGGCGGTCTGTAAATAATCAAGATTTGACCAGACAATGCAGTGATCATCGGCATGAACATTGATATACACAATTGGGATATGGTGACATGTGCAATCAAGTCTGCGAGCCTGACCACCTGATCCTGTTAGTCTCCTCTTATGACAAACATGGGTAACTGAAGATCAATTCTAACCTGGATCTTCATGTCATCATAATAATCATGACAATGACAAAGACATTGTAATCATTAAGCATAATAAGTAGATTGCCTGGTGCATATAACAGATACTTTCTATTCTAATGAAGTTCCAGAGGTTAACATTGAAATCTCTAATCTGCAATAGGCCCAGGTTTCTGAGGCTAGAAAATATGACATCAGTAAAATTCTATGAAATGAGATGACAGTGACATAATTTGCCAGTTTGGGACCCCAGGGTTTAGGCCTCGGACTCTCAGTGATTATCTAGAGACCCTTGGACCCATAAACAGACCCAGGAAACACAACCTTAGACACAAACCAATGTATCACAAAACAGGCAGTATCTTATCCCACAAAGTTATCTTTTCATGATTTACAAATCTTCGTTAAGTAAGACATTCAAGACAATAACCAGAGAGATAAGGTAAAGAATATATATGCTTTCACTGAAGTTGGAAATGGCAGCCTGTGTTTGACTGAACCTGGACCAGCTTCACCATTATTTGTCAGCATAAGCAAGTATCCATGCCTGCAACATAGGCAAGTATTCATGCCTGCAGCGTAAGCAAGTATCCATGCCTTCTTCAGCAGCAATAATCCATGCCTTCAGCATAAGCAAATATCCATGCCTTCAGCATAAGCAAGTATCCATGCCTTCAGCATAAGCAAGTATCCATGCCTTCAGCATAAGCAAGTATCAATGCCTGCATGCCTTCAGCATAAGCAAGTATCCATGCCTTCAGCATAAGCAAGTATCAATGCCTGCAGCATAAGCAAGTATCCATGCCTTCAGCATAAGCAAGTATCCATGCTTTCAGTGTAAAAGATCCATGGCTTCAGCATCTGCAATATTCCATGCCTGCAGCATGAACAAGTATCCATGCCTTGTGCAGCAGCAATGATCCATGCCTGCAGCATGAACAAGTATCCATGCCTGCAGCAGCACTGATCCATGCCTGCAGCATCAGTAAGTATCTAAGCCCCCAGCAAATGATGCCAGATAATGAAGACACACGTTAATGACCTGAGTGTGTCCAGTGGCACACTGTACATGATCCACATCTACAAATGTGTTTCTGCATCTAGAGGGAAGTAGAATTTCGACATTGACAGCATTACCTGAACCCTGCTGTGACGTCTCATGTATGTGGAGGTCTTCTTCTCTGCATCTAGCAGCTTCTGTTGCAGCATTGACAACTGCTGTGTACCTACAACAATACACCAAAGCTGTATTTATCACCTGTGTGCTGAGAATTTGGGGAGTCTTTCGTAGTTAAATTTAGGAATCGACATATAAACCCAAAAGTACTTTGACATACTGATTAATAACTAAATGAATCATTCGGATTGTGTATAGATAACTATTACAATTCAATGTACCATTTTTCTTTTTAATCAATTTCATGCTTTATCTGAACTAGATTGATAAAAAAGTTAGAATTTACTTTTTACTCCTTGTATTGGTACTAAATGTAAACAATTCTGTGGCACTAAGTATACAATCAGGTTTGTAGTACTGTACTGAGAATACTGTGATAACTTACTTTTGCCAGTACCTAGACCACTTCCTCTCTGTCATATGGTTAAAGAACGGCACTCAATGTATTCTGTGTTTCTAAACTCCAGCCCATATAACATCATCAGGATGACATGAACAATAAGTCTACATATACAAGGGCAAGCAACATCGAACTGGGATTTCAGTTACAGGAGTAATTAAACATGAAACCCTACGTGATCCAGGTTGCATAGATGCCAACCCCAAAGTGTTGCAAATAGTAGGTTCAAGGCTCAAAAATGTAATTTTTCAAGTAAAATTGATATTTTTATACTTATCCTGACTCATGATCTTTTGCTTATCTCCCTTTCCCTTGCGAAAGGTAGTGGAACACTTGAAGCCCTTGTAGTTCCCGAGTACCGCCTCCGTGGTGTAGTGGTTAGAGCGTCTGCCCGGAGTGCGGAAGGTCGCGGGTTCGATCCCCGACCGCGTCATACCAAAAGACGTTAACATATGGTACTTGTTGGTCCCTGCCTGGTGCTCGGCATTAATGGGTACAACAAGAACTGGTCGGCTTGGAGTCGGTATAATGTGTCTGAGGGGGGTATTCATGCTTCACTGCGGCATGGTATCTCAGTGGGCTAGCACTACAAAACCAGCTTCAGTCTGTGCTAGTACAAGCAGCCGCACATACACATACACACGCATGCACGTCATCATATGAGCGAAATATTCTCAAGCACGACGATAAACCCAATTTCACCTCACCTCACCTTGAAGTTCCCGAAGCAGACGTAAAAATACACTCACCCACGAGTTACCTCCCTTTTGCCCCTTCCCGCGCAAACAGTCATGTGACCAGCCTTACTTGTCACTCTCTCCGGTTTTTCTGCCAATGCACTTGGATCTGCTGTGAAATCCTAAGTGTTTCCAGTGGGGAGGTTGGGAGGGCTTCTCGTCATGAGTCAGGATAAGTATAAAAATATCACTTTTACTTGAAAAATTACATATTTTTTCTTATCCTGACTCATGATCTTTAGCTTATAGAATCCTGTGGATTGGTGGTGGGTCAGGCCACTTCCTGGATGCATCAGCTGTCCTTATATATGTCCTGTATCCCCCCCATCCCCCACCCCTAGAACTGCGAAACGGCATTTCCTTGATCCTACTCTTCCAACTTCCGTTATAACTCGGGGGGACCACTCTCTTGTCTTACTTCAGTCTCAGACAAGTTGAATCATGTTGATTCATGTGGCTTCAGATAAACTAGTATCTTCTTATTACTAGATATCTCATAACAACCCATAGATTATGATAAGATCTTTATCATAAATGAGTTGCGACCCCTTCATGTACAGGTAAGATCTTTACGCGTACAGGATCTTTAATCACTCATGCTCGCCTGTCCTACAGACCGTTTGGCTCAAAAGCGGACCGATGAATTGCCATCTAACTCGAAAACTAGTAAACATAACATACTCAATGAAACGCTGATCATAATCAAAACATCATACCCACTGTGTGAGGTTCTTGCAGAATTTTTGTCCTAAAAATAAAAAAGTTGTTTAACAAACTATCATTAAAATATTGACACAGTTCACTGTTTGTTACGAGGGAGGAGTGCAGAGAAAGGGACAGCCAGGTGTTCAAGAAGCACATTCACAGACAAAGTTATTTATTCATTAACCTGTGCTGTGCCGTCTCCGTCCTTGTAAATCAGTCTGAACTTCTCCTTGGAGTTCTTCTTGGGTACTAGAAAAATTGGGGAGTAGAAGCCTGGAGTAAGATGATGCCGATCTATTATCTTTACCGCCTCCTTCATAAGTAGTGAGTTGATGGCCTCTTGTAGTTTGTCTGCCTGCTCCTCTGCATACTCGAAGACCATCGGGCTGAGGGTTAGCGGAGGTGAGGCCTTGAGTTGTACTCTGTATCCTTCTCATAGTACTTGGGAGATGTAGTTGTCCTCTAGTATTCGCCAATTATTCCAGTACCTTTGTAGACGTCCACCCACTGTCGATGGTTTTACTGGAACGGCTGGGGGTGGAAGACTCCAGTCGTTCTGAACCCTGATATCAACGTCTAGTTCCTCTGGATCCTCTGGGAGTGTGGCCTCTCCCTGAGTTTCCTCTGTAATTCCCGGCTGGGGGACAAAAAGATCCTTTGCCGCCTCTGAAGCTGGAGTACTTCTTCTCCTTTGTCTTCTGTATGCCGGAATATTTGGACTTCCTGTAGGTGGTAGTTCGTCAAACAGCTGTCCTGCTGTGACCGTTGCAGGAGACGATCTAGTAGTTGTAGACGTCGATTGAGTCGCTGATCTCGTAGGTACTTCAGGTAGAAGTAGTGGGGGATCATCAAAAACGTCTACTTAATGTGGAGGTAATATCTCTTCGTTGAAAGATTTCTGATGCGTTGACTTACTAGCCCGCGTAGATTTACCCTCCGATCTGGTAACAGATGCTTTCTTCTGCGATGTAGAAGAGGATGACGTCTTTTTCTTAGCTTGAGTTGGAGTCAACTGTGTTGTAGCCGATCTCTTCTTAGCCCCCGTACCAGCAGACTGCCCCTGCAACGTACTGAACATAGCACCAGTATCATGAACTTCAGCAGTAGCAAGCAACATACGGTTTGTAGGCTGATCTCCTGTTTTATCAGCCGTGACTTGAGATGACTTCCTCACCCGATCCATGGCACGTCTATAGATATCAGAAAAATATTGATTAAATTGTAGATTTGATAATTCAACACAATAAGTACAGCGCAAGCTGGAAGAACATGGCTTTATGCACGAGGGGCATTGGGGGTGAGGATCAGCCACGGATAACCTGTGGCTGCAAACACTGCAAGATTTCATGAAACGTAAACAAAGTTACATAACGATGAAAATGAAATTAATTCAAAATAATTTTACAAATATTTTACATATAATACAAAGTAGTTATTGCCAAATCCATACCCAGCGTAATTTTGAAGAACAGGATCTAAATAAAAAGGATATAATGCCGTATATGGGACTACAGTGCTTGCCCAACCATCCACTTGGGTGAAAAAAGGGAGAGAGTGACAAGTAAGGCTGGTCACATGACTGTTTGTGCGGGAAAGGGCAAAAGGGAGGTAACTCGTGGGTGAGTGTATTTTTACGTCCGCTTCGGGAACTTCAAGGGATTCAAGTGTTCCACTACCATTCGCAAGGGAAAGGGAGATAAGCAAAAGATCATGAGTCAGGAGAAGAAAACATTTAGTAGTCTGGCCATAAAATAAGTAGTCAAATAAATACTTAAAATCATGATTGATTCTGAGAAAGATAATACGACACTAATCAAGAGTGAAGCTTTAATTTCACATACCTCCATCAGGAGATTTCCAAATTATCAGCATTACATTTCTTCTTCTTGTCCCTTTTTGGCAAAAATGCATTTAATTGACAAAAATATATGTTCACGCCATAGCAAGGATTATGATTTTGGTACTTCTGTGAGAGCAGTTGGGTAATTATGCCAGATTAAGGATTGTGATTTTGGTAAATCTGACACACCAAGGATTATGATCAGGGTAATTCTGGGATTCAACCACAGAACCAGTGGATCCCGACTACTAGGGGACACAACTCTGTAGTTTATTGCTGAGACATAGACAGCTGGTAGTGTATGTTGTATAAGACATTGCAAAGGATACATATAAATCAAACAGCCTTGGCTGTGGTGTGGAGTTTAAAGCTAATGTCAGGAATTTGTCCAGTCGAACTTCGAGGTCTTTTATCCAAGTGTCCTGTAATGAAAATAGTTGATAATGACCAAATATCTCCAGGTTTCCAAACATGAGTGAGTGTTTGGTTTTATGTCGCTTTTTGCAATATTCCAACAATATCACCAGATATGTTGGGGACACCAGAAATGGGTTTCACACATTGTGCCCATGTGGGGAATCGAACCTGGGTCTTTAGGGTGACAAGCAAACGCCTTAACCAGTAGGCTCCAAAATGAATGGCTACACTGTTTAAATTTTTTATTAAGACAAGCAAACCCTTAAAGCTCAGGGGGCGGTGGGGTAGCCTAGTGGTTAAAGCGTTGGCTCGTCACGCCGAAAACCCGGGTTTGAATCCCCACATGGGTACAATGTGTGAAGCCCATTTCTGGTGTCCCCCGCCGTGATGTTGCTGGAATATTGCTAAAAGCGGCGTAAAAGCCAAACTCAGTCAGTCAGTTAAAAGCTCAGAAAGCAGAATCAGGACTCAATATCAGAGAAAAAGAAATATCAGGAATGCTTACCACTGGTTACATGAAGTTTTACCATAAACCAATCAAGCGATGTTAATGTAATAATGAGCAAACGTGAACCACAACAGGATGTATTCACAATGTTTAAAATGTTAAATGGAACATCATGTCAGCATTGAAAGTACAAACTCACCGAAAACAGTTCCTTGTATGAAGGGTGCTCCTTTGGTTTGGGGACAAATGGGAGGGCATAGAAAGGCAGGAATTCTGTAGTCTGACTTAGAGTTGATCCTCTTGTCTCTAGGTAGGTCTTGAACTCGCCCATGTTGACCTCAACTTCAGACTAGGAACACAAGCAAAAAGTGGAACTTGCTGCACAGAATTTTAGTAATGTAAGGGAGATAACTCTCTTATTTCTCCAGCCATATGATGGCAATCTGTAAATAACTTTGTCTAGACCAGATAATCCAGTGACTGACATCAAGAGCATCAATCTAGCAAACTGTGATACGATGACAAGTGTCAACCAAGTCAGTGAGTCTGATCACTTGCTCCAGTCAGTAACCTCTTACAACAAGTATGGGTTGCTAAAAACAAATTCACACCCAGATATTCATGTGTAATAAAACTCTATTACAATTCTCACAAGCCCCAGTCAGCATTATACATAAGTAAATAATGTGTTTACAACAAAGATTAATTTCACTTTAAATGTTGAAACACCAAAGAGCACAACTTTTATTAAAATCTGATTTCTGTCTATTCCAAAATGCTGTCTAAAGCAGCTTTGATTCCATGTCCGACTTAATTCCTGCTTAAACAGTTCCCACTGTAGAGTGTAGTACTAAAACATTTCAATAAACAATCACCTGTGGACCTTTGTGCTTCATGGGATACACAGCAAAATAGATATTGAGGTAGAACTCCAATTTCTGGGCCACTGAGTCCTCATCCCGCACAGTTGATGGTAGAAAGTCTGTCCACTGCTCAAAGAATATCCTCCGCTTTCCTTGGCGAAAATGATCCATCATTTCATTCTGCAAAAACAAGAACACTGCCTTATCAGGACCTGCTCAGAGGCTGACATGCAACCTCAAGTCTGCAAAATTTGTCAGTTCAAAATCAAAAATGGTAACTAAACAGTTTCTCTTGTGCACATACAATCATAACTAATGAGATTCTTTGGTCAGGGAGACTGAGACTGGTTGAACTGGTTACTAGACCAAAAAAGTGCAAGACTATGTTTTCTGTGCTTGTACTGATTGTTAAAACACCTCTGAATATATAAACTCTAAAGATTTCGTAAGTCTGGAATCCTTGATAAAACCCAGACATTATGGTATGGACAGTAAGCTACAACCATCATCAGATATGTGACATAAGTCAAATGTTTAAAGGGGCATTTGTTGTGCTTTCAGGAGTTATCAAATACCTGAAAAAATGTCTAAGACAATGTGAGTGTCCTAGAAAATGAACCGATCAGAACGTAAATAAATCATATCATGCACAAGTTTCCTTTCAGTCTCTTACTTGAACAGTTTGAAGTTTCTTGTTGGACTTGGGTCTGACATCTTGTGTACTAATTGGTTTTCCCTTCTCACTACATTCATCTTCAAATGTGCTGACAGATCTGTCAAAATCTCCAAAAGTCAGATACTGAAACATAAGAGTTTAGCTCCATATGAAACTGTCAAAGAATTGCAAGTGTATGTTATTCGTAGTATAATTAACATTGATGAAAGTATAATAGTGGCAGTTGCATGGAAATAAAATCAAAACATGTTTAATAAGATCTCAACCTAATAATAATTACATAGAGGCAAAAAGAAATTTCTACTTGTTCTAAAGATACTGTGAACTAGTATAAAGGGGTCCAACGGTCAAGACAAGACCCTTCCTCATTGTCCTTGGGTAGTTTGAGGCCATATTCACATGGGCGGATGATTTAAGGATTTCCTGATAATACCTGCAAACAATTCCAAAACAAAATGACAAAATCTAAAATCAGTGTCTCACCTCTCTTATGATGCCATTCAGCTCACCCTCAAAAGCCACAACTGACAGGTTTCCTGACATGTCTCTTCTGTATTACACGATCAAATGCTGAATAAAAATATTCGACACTGTAAGTTTTCATGTTATGTATACCCATTTCAAAGGAATAAACATGATAAAGCTGTCATTACATCTCTGAGCTGTACTAGGCATGTCACGATATATATCATAAATTTTAATTTTTTATACTGTATCTGCAAACTGCTTAATATGAACATAACTTAATAATTCACTGCCACGACAATTTTACATTTGTATAGATTATTTTGGATAAGATAGACAATGTGAAGGAATAACTTTCAATTTTTAAATCTTTCAAATGATCAGCCTAGTTGACATTATTAATGACAGATCTAGACAGAAATACTTTTATCCACGTACATAGAACGTAACTGATTTTGATGCAGACAGTTCCATATTATACATCCTGGAAGTCTCATATTTACAATGCATTCGGTCCTATTATGCGAGTCTGTGCTTGTGGCAACCGTAAATTTTAGCATTGTACTGGACTTCTGAGATAATACATTCTTCGCGTTGTTGTCTTAGTCAGACAACAATGTTTGACCACTTACATGTTACAGCAATTCAAGTCCTATCTATTTAAATCCTCATAATCGGCTTATATATCCGTCTGACAGCTGTTTATAAGAAACGCGCACTTGGAATCCAGTAAACATTAAAAGACCGCAGTAAATATTTATAGGATCGGAGCAAGTATGACGTTAGTTATTTCCTGTCAGTCATTGTTAAAACTGGCGAATAAAAAAACCCAGATTATGATTCAAAAAAAATCTTACTCGTGTTATATGATCGTCAGGGCTTTGGCCTATGTATTTTTTCTGACAGATTATGATTTTGACCTTCATGTGGAGTTGCCTCCCTTCAATCAATTTTCGATCAAGGACAAGACTTAGTGTGCGAAGGTAGTTTATTAAGATTGCTGTCGATAAGCAAGAACGTTTAATGCAGTCACAGATTAGATGTTTTTAGTGTAATAAGTCCGATGAAATACAATAACTATTCGTATCTTGCACGTGTAATTACTTATGCGATGTTACAACTTTGTTTGAGAATCTCCAAGTCGAGAACAGATTGACTGCGTTATTCTCTTGTTTATTATCATATCATATGTTTGGACTTATTTAAGAACAATATGTGGGTTGTATGTTTCAGTATACAGAAAAGTACTTGGGGTACACATCTGTAGTACCCGTGCTGCACTACTGATTCACTGTTTAGCCCTTGATGAAAGAAAGAAATGTTAAAAATGTTTTGTTGTCAGATTTATGTATTAGAGAAAAACATCAAGGATTCCATGACACCACCAATGCCCTTGCACAATCCTCAACCCCCAATTGTCAACTCAAAAACTGATTGTGGTTAAGATGATGGATATTCAGTTTCCTTCTACTTATATCGTGAGACTTTGACTAAAGTGACATTATCATATTGCAGTGATGCTTTACATATAAATCTGCACTGAACTAGATCATTAATGCCAGTACATGTGTACTTCAGTTTGGCTTTCCCACATTATTGCTGAAGGTGTCATTGTTGGCATGGTTACTACAGATATGTACCTGAGGTACATAAACAAAGTCCAAATTCAGACATATGATGGTACTCTAAACGATGGACAAGTCCATTTTTCTCAACCCAAAACTGAGACTGCCTCATGCTGTACTTCACTTTCATCTGATTTTGAGTGATACAGTGCATCGCAAAATATTGTCATTGTGAAGAAAAATATATTTGGATGGATATTTTAGTGCTATAGAAATAGGGCTAAAAATTGGCCCCCCTCAGGACCAGGGTGTTCATCATAATAAAATGACATACATTTGACAGATAAGGATGCAGCCCAAGCCTACAACCCTGTTTTCAGCCTAATTCACTCATTGAATTCATACACTGAATAACATTTATCGATGGGCTTTTTGTTTTCAGATGCTTGGGTCAGGGGTCAGAGGTCGTGCCCTGCAGGGGGCGTGGCATGTTATTCAAAACCAACTGCGACAGGTACAGACGAGTGGTGTACAAGCAGCAGCGGCTGCCGACGTCAAGCCATTCTTCTACCAGGATATCTTTGAACATGAGAAGAAAGCAGAAGTCCCATGGAAAAAGTTATCAGGTTTGTTTTGAAAAAAAATAATTCTTTTTTCAATTTTGTCCACTGGGAAGAGAGCATATGCCGCATGGAAAAATTGACTGTTTTGTCTTCAAAATTTGTATTTGTCATATTAGATTTGAATTTATCTGTTTGGTTGTCAGTTTCCAAGGGTAGTCTAAATTAACAGAAAAAAACAACACCACTCCTGGTACTCAGAATTATCAACAGATGAAGAATCCACAGACTGAGAGAGTATTGCTAAGAATAGATTAAAACTAGAAAGACTTTCATTCTAATGAAGTTCAGACAGTTGAAATGAATTTGCTTCAACAGGTTCTCAGAATGGGTATATTCCAAAACACTGACACAAACTCTTTTATTTTTTTACATAAATTCTCATGATTGAATTGAGCAATGTCTTTTACATGTCCCCTCCAATCATGGACATTTTGTCATTCTACATGTTATTTGTATGTGGTGACAATGTCAATGTTTTCGTCCTTGTAGGCGACTATGTATCGACGTTTGATGTGAAGGGAAGGAAGGTTCTTCACATACAACCTGAAGCCTTGACCTTGCTGGCAGAGAATGCCATGATTGACATTTCTCATCTCCTTCGACCCGGACATCTCCAGGTGATATGATCACAACAATATTTCTGTTTCATAATTTTATCTGATTTCTTTTTTTGATGTTTTTGTACAGTTTTTACATTTCTACATGGTAGATTTCATCTAACATAATCACAATGATAAGTTCTTGGTATGCACAAGGGACATAACTCTGTTCACTGAATTCTGGCACCTTCAGGGAAAGGGTCAATGGTGCCCCTCCCATCCCTTGTCTTTGTGGACAAGGACACAGATCATCACTACTTCAACTTTTTATAATTTATTCAGATACAGTCAAATCCCGATGAGTCGAATCGCTGGGGATCAAGTAATAAATTCGACTTATCGATGTATTCGAGACATAGGTATGTCTATGAGGGTAGAAAAAAAGATGATCCAGTCCTAATTCCTCTGCCTAAGCATTTGTTTATCTAATGATTTCCATATCACTAATAGGGACACCTTATCAGTTCCAGTCTGATTAGCACAGACAGTAATTTCCGTAAAATCACTAATCTGCCTTTTGAACTCACCCGTCAATGGCGGAAAGGTGTGAGCCGCGCTGGTTTGTTAATTGGATCAGTTTGCTACACCAGACAATTTCTCATTGACTGACTTCGGCTTATGTATACAAGATTGCTGTTGTTTGAATCTCATGGGACCAAATTTCCTTCTCGAGTCATCGTGTGTATTTATGAGACGAATTCGTGTAACCGGTATTCAAATGATGACAACTATAACAGTGAATGGTCAGGACCGACAGGTACTTTTGAGTTTTGCATAATATTCGAGACAGCGGCATTCGACTCATCGGGATTTGACTGTATTTTGCTCCATTGGTGTGGTGCCTCTGCAGCGAGATCTGACTAACTAATGGTCTGTTTTGTGTTTTGTTTTCCAGCAACTGTCAAATATCCTAAAAGATCCTGACGCCTCCAGTAACGACAAGTTTGTGGCTCTGGAACTGTTGAAGAATGCAAATGTTGCAGCTGGGATGGTGCTGCCTGGTTGCCAAGATACAGGAACAGCTATCTGCATTGGTAGGTATTCAATTTTCCAATCTCAGTAATAACTTCACTGTTCCAGGGTAGGGTTTCAACGAGCAGCATCATTTGATTACTCATATCTTGACTCTGCTGTTATTTTGAATCATTGCTGAAGAAAATATGAGTGGAATGAATTGGTGTACTCTTTCCATTGTCATGGTAGATGTATACAAATCAAATATGAATAGCATTTGGGGTACTTGGGATATTGAACAGATTAAGAGTTATCTCCCTTGTACCACAAACTCTCATGTAGTTATTCCCTGTGTCCGTGTGTTTGTGCCTGTCTGTTTTGAGGACTGCTAGTACTGTTATTGTGAATAATGTGAACAGTGTTCTTAATTAAGTGACTCTCAGTGTTTGAGTTCGAATCCTGGATGGGACTCAACTGAACAAAAGGACTAGAATCAGTACTTTATCGAGAAAGTGTAATCCAAAAATATGACATATACTCATGGAAACAAATAAGGGAACACATGAAAGTACAAGTGTTCCTTTATTCTTTTCCAGGTTTCTTCACAAGGTATGTATTGCACTGTGAGTGAAATTCTGGAAATAGATAAAGGAACACTTGTACTTTCATGTGTTCCCTTATTTGTTTCTATGAGTATATGTTAAACATGATTATGTCTTTAGTCTTGCAGCAGAGTTTTGCTAAGGCCATCATGGTGATGTCTTTCATTGTTTTCCTCCAGGTAAGAAAGGTCAGTATGTGTGGACAGAGGGGAGGGATGAGGATGCTCTTTCAAGAGGGGTATACAACACTTACACCAAGAGGAACCTCAGGTATTCCCAGGTAATAATTGAACTGTGATGGACTGTGTATTGATTAACTATTAACAGGGAATTTTTGGTTACTTCTCAGTTTGCCTTAAACATGCCCTGAGCTTTTTATGATAGTGCCATAGGTTCTGAAACACTTATCCCTTGCACTCTCGCATGAATCTCCTCCTAGGTGGCACCACTGGACATGTTTAAAGAGGTCAACACGAAGACAAACCTTCCTGCCCAGATCGAGCTGTACGCCACAGATTCCTCTCAGTATGACTTCCTGTTTATGGCCAAGGGAGGTGGCTCGGCCAACAAGACATTTCTCTATCAACAAACAAAGGCATTGCTGAATCCTGAAAGACTTATGAAGTTTGTAGATGAAAAAATTAAGGTCAGTAATCAATATATGTGAGAAATGTTCATTGATGCCTCAACAGTTATAGGTGCGAGGTTTGACATGTTTGAAAGAACATGTGTTTCCTGCATTCTTTCAAAATCATGTATATTTTCATCCAGCTGGCAAAGTTTATATCTTTAGTGACGTGCTGAAAATTAAAATTTAGTTAACCTGGGAATTAGCATCTGATTCGTTTGACCAAAAAAGCACAGGCAATGGCGCTTCATCTTTTTGGTAAGGGTCATGAAAAATTGTACAAGGACTTAATGAGAGACTTCTTAAAACTTGACAAGCTGGAGGGAAGGATCATGATTTTTGGTAACTTAGTGCAACAAATACTCTCCTTTTTCTTTTGGCAGACATTAGGTACAGCTGCCTGCCCTCCCTATCATCTGGCCATCGTGATTGGAGGAACGTCAGCAGAGCTCACACTGAAGACCGTCAAACTGGCCTCCACACGATACCTGGATACTCTCCCCTCTTCAGGTAATGATACGTTATAGGGATAACATTGTTCTGTAGCTTTGTGTGGCCTGTGAACTTTTGGTAACAAATTTTGGAGGTTCCAGGTCATCCCACTAGATGAAGATTTCAAACCAAAACCTTGTTTAAACCAAACCATACTGTTTGAGTTAAACCATACTGACTCACATGTTTTTCATTTATCAGGCAATGACCATGGCAGAGCTTTTCGTGACCTTGAACTGGAGCAGCAAATCCACAAACTGACTCAGAAAATGGGGATTGGTGCTCAGTTTGGCGGCAAATATTTCTGTCATGATGTGCGAGTCATCCGCCTACCGAGACATGGAGCTTCCTGCCCTGTGGGCATAGGGGTGTCGTGTTCAGCAGACAGACAGGTAAGGCTTGTTAGTTGGGTTGGTTAGGTAGCGAGGTGGCTAAAGTGTTTAACGCGTGAGACCTAAGTTCGAATCCTCTTTTGAGTCCCACTGGCTTGTCGTTGATGGAACCACATTCAGTCAGATTTTCTATTTCTCAGAAAGTATCCTCAACATATTTTAGCAAGATGGCTTCTTCTTTAGGCACTTGGCAAAATAACAGAAGAGGGCGTGTTTCTGGAACAGCTGGAGACTGATCCCATCAAGTATCTTCCTGAGGTGGAGGCAGAGGACCTGGGAGGAGAGGTTGTGCAGGTAACATATTGTACCAGATGGCTCAACTCAAACACAAATACCTGTGAAGATCCGGGTTAGAACTGGTTTTCAGCAACCCATGCTTGACGTAAGAGGCGACGAATGCTGTCAGGTGTTCAGGCTTGCTGACCTGGTTGATACATTTCATCGTATCCCAGTTGTGCAGATCGATGCTCACGCTGTTGAATCACTGGATTGTCTGGTCCAGACTTGATTATTTACAGACCGCCCCCTTATAGCTGGAATATTGGTGAGTGTGGCGTTAAACAACATAAATCAAACACAAAACTATATGTGTTCTTATAAATCTACCAATAACTGAAAAATTAAGAAAAAAATGTATTTGTTTTCCTGATATCCTGACTCATCATATTTTACACTTTGATCACAGAACCCAAAATGTGCCTCTTTACCGGCAGAGCAGCCACTGCCCTTGGTTACCAATCAGAGTTGTCTGTCCTTGATCCTCACTGCCTTCTCATTGCACAAGAGGATATTACTGTAATGAATATCTAAATTCATGTAAAATTGTTGATCTGACCATGGGGCTTTTCAGATTGATTACACATTAAACCATTGTAAACACAGAATCGACGATAAATATGTAGCAGGTCAGAATAGAGGTCACGCCTCAAATGAAAAAGTTTTAAAACTGCTGGGGATCTCTAATGGCAAATTACTTAATGAAATATAATTTCAAAATGTCAGTTAAATCAATAAATGGAAAACCAACAATGCAGGATAATGAGTATGGCTGAGTCTCATTTCAAGCATATCAATTATCCTTGTGTAACCACGCCCATTTCTGGTGTCGCCCCGCCGTGATATTGCTAAAATCGGCGTAAAATCATACTTGCTCATTCCTTGTGTAACCACGCCCATTTTTGGTGCCCCCTGCCGTGATATTGCTAAAATCGGCGTAAAATCATACTTGCTCATTCCTTGTGTAACCATGCCCATGTTCAGTTTGGGGCTAGTTTTTTGGTGAAAGGTAACTTATTTTGCATTAATTGTGTCAGCAGCCTGATACTGAACATGAAACCCAACAAAAATTGTGACAACTTATGTTATTTAGGTGATTACCTTTGAATGTTGAATAAAAGACTTATGTCCCAGTGACTATATTGGAGGGTTCGGGGTTAACATTTGTTGCTACTAGACTAGTGGACTGGTGGGTCTTTAAATTTACTAGACCTGACCTAATGTCAACTAGATCATACTGTTGGAAGACAAAACAAGCTTATTTTTATTATCAGCAGGATTATAGTACATACTAGAAGAACAAAGTATATTAAACACTAAACTATGTGATAATTGTTGCTTTCTTTTGTATATTATGAATACTGTATACCTTAACTTTTGATTTTCTGAAGAACGTTTATCATTAAACAGTAGCTTTTATTGTCTTTTTTACACTTGAATAAGCTTAATAACAGTCTTTGTAATAGTAAGGTCGTGGGTTTGATCCCCGACCGCGTCATACCAAAAGACGTTAAAATATGGTACTTGTTGGTCCCTGCCTGGTGCTCGACATTAATGGGTACAACAAGGACTGGTCGGCTCGGAGTCAGTATACTGTTTCTGAGTGGGGTATTCATGCTTCACTGCGGCATGGAATCTCAGTGAACTAGCACTATAAAACCAGCTTCAGTCTGGGCTAGTACAAGCAGCCGCACATACACATACACTCGCATGCACGTCGTCATATGAGCGGAATATTCTCAAGCACGACGTTAAACCCAATTTCACCTTACCTCACCTTTGTAATAGTCATTATAATAGATGACGCATGGAAGATTTTTAAAAACGAATCAAATACAGTGATTTGAAACAGCATTCATTAACAATCTACACAACCAGTTGGGCTATCCAGACATGAATTTAACTAGACTGGACCAGCCATTTGCTGGACAATGTGTCGTGTGGATGTGCCTTAGTGTCGAACCCTGTATTGATCATCTTGTATCCCAGGTTGATCTGAACCGACCAATGAGCGAGGTGCTGCAACAACTTAACCAGTGTCCAATCAAAACTCGTCTGACGCTGACAGGGACGCTGGTGGTTGCGAGGGACATCGCCCACGCCAAGCTGCAGGAGAGGTTAGACAAGGGGGAAGAGATGCCCCAGTATATGAAGGACCACCCTGTGTACTATGCTGGGCCTGCCAAAACACCTGAGGTAAGGGGGGATAACTCTGCAATATTGACCATGAGTGGTATCATTGCACAAATCTAGGGATAATTTTGTTGCATCGTGACCTGGGTTCGAATCCCAATTTGGGTACAATATGTATGGATTCTATTCTTGTTGTTCCCTTCTCTGTTATCTCTGGAAATTATTGCGAGAAATACACAAAGTATATATTGAATGTACATAAAAGATTGATGCCTATTTAACAGTATGTGTAGCAGTCCAGTTGAGAAGTGGTAGAAACAGGTGTTAACTGATTCTTCATCCAATCATTTGTATCAATGCTCCAGTCTTCATTCTCCAGACTGAAAGTTTTGAAACCAAGATTTCATCTCAATTTTTCAGGGGCCGGTGGGACAGCCTAGTGTTTAAAGTGTTCGCTCGAAGATTTGGTTTTTTTATTCCCCATATTGGTAAAATGTGTAAAGCCTATTTCTGGTGTCCCCGCCGTGATATTGCTGGAATATTGTTAAAAGCAGCGTAAAACCATACTAACTCACTCACTCACTGACTGAGACTGACTGACTGACTGACTGACTCAATTCATCAGCACTATGCTTGTGCAGAAACAAGTAGCACAACTGGAGTATTTTGTCATTAAACAACAAACACATAATATGTTTGAACCAGACATTTATATTCTCTCATCCAGGGATATGCAAGTGGATCGTTTGGACCCACGACAGCGGGCAGGATGGACTCCTATGTGAACTCGTTCCAGGCTGCTGGGGAAGCAAGGTCATGTTGGCCAAGGGCAACCGGAGTCGCCAGGTGAGTTCGGAGGGATAGGGAATTTACCGTTTGATTCTTAAAATAACCTTCAGGAATTGGAAATGGATTTATCTATCTCAATGAAGTTGATTGGACAAACTTTTCAAGTTACAATTGCTTATTGTCTAGTTCATCATCAAGAAGGCCAAAAGTATTTCTCCTTACGGCCAAAAGTATTTCTCCTTACTGGCATACTTAAGTTTCTATATCTAACAACCAGCGTTGGAAGAGTGTCCACACAGGTAACCAAACTCCATGTCCACATAGGTTGCCTATTTCCATCTCCACGAAGATAACCAACCTACACAGATAACTAAACTCTACGTTCACACAGATAACTAAACTCTGTGTTCACTCAGATGACTAAACTCTATGTTCACACAGATAACTAAACTCTATGTTCACACAGATAACTAAACTCTATGTTCACACAGATATCTAAACTCTGTGTTCACTCAGATAACTAAACTCTATGTTCACACAGATAACTAAACTCTATGTTCACACAGATAACTAAACTCTGTGTTCACTCAGATAACTAAACTCTATGTTCACTCAGATAACTAAACTCTATGTTCACTCAGATAACTAAACTCTATGTTCACTCAGATAACTAAACTCTATGTTCACACAGATAACTAAACTCAGACTCAGATACTAAACTCTATGTTCACACAGATAACTAAACTCTATGTTCACACAGATAACTAAACTCTATGTTCACACAGATAACTAAACTCTATGTTCACACAGATAACTAAACTCTATGTTCACACAGATAACTAAACTCTGTGTTCACTCAGATAACTAAACTCTATGTTCACACCTGAATGTTCATACAGGTAACTAAAGCATGCAAGACCCATGGAGGGTTCTACCTGGGATCCATCGGGGGTCCAGCAGCCATTTTGGCCCAGAACTGTATCAAGAATGTCGAAGTCCTTGAATATCCTGAACTTGGTAAGTTGTTAACCCCTTTCCCAAAACAAAGGTAGAGTAATGACAGAAGTCTTGCTCAGTATGACGTGAGAAAATGGAAGACTATAGCCTACTGGGTACCGCCTTGTTAGAAGGTTGTACACAGAGCCACTTATACCTGTGCCTTGCCTCTAGAAGGTTGTACACAGAAGCCACTTGGAGTATACATGGGCCTGTGACATTGCCTCTAGCGGCGTAAAACCAAACTCAGTCAGTCTAAAAGGGGAGGATAATCATTAATTGCCTGCTTGATATGCTTGATAAAGTGTGAGTTGATGTGAGTGAGTGTGAGAATGACTTAAATGCTACTTGAAAGGACTGACAAGCCAAGGGATTTTGGGGTTTATGGCAGTGTTATCTTTTGTGAGCATTTGACATTTTTGTCAAAGCTGGTTATTTGGTTTGTTATCTAACGCCACACACAGCAATATTGCACAGCTATATTGCGACTGTCTGTAAATAATCAGGAGTCAGGACCAGACAATCCAGTGATCAACAGCATGAGCATCAATCTACGCAATTGGTTTTGTCAAGGCAAAAGTATCTATGAAAGTTTTCATTTGGCAGTAATCCACCGTGGTTGTTTTGCAGGTATGGAGGCAATATGGCGAGTGGAGGTGGAGAATTTCCCAGCATTCATTGTGGTGGACAATAAAGGAAATGACTTTTTCCAGGAATGGCAGCTGGAGTAATGTGACTGGTGTAACCTAGGGCAACAGTATTCTTGATGGATGCTTTGTGGAGGACACATACTTGATGGAGATGGATGGTTCATGAATTCATGCTTCATATGAAATTATACTAAGAAATACTTGTCAAGAAGGGTACTTAGTATATTGTAAAGGATACTTTAAAAATACTTCCCACAGAATAATACTTCATGAATAATTTATAATTTTCTTGATTCATTGAGATACTCATTGAATATTAAGAGGATTCATGAATAATTCATTAAAGATTCTTCATGAATACCTTAAAAGGATTCTTTCTGAGTATCTTATAAGGAGTTGCCATGATTGCTTTATGGATTCTTCATAAATACTTCATAAAGATTTCATAAATACAGCAAAAAACTTCAGTAAGAACTCTTTGTAAATATTTCATCAGAATTCTTCATGAACACTTCCATGAGAATCCTTCTGGAATAATTCCATACAGATTCTTCAATATTTTGGAATGGATTCATAATGATTCATAATGAATATTTCCAAAAGGATTCTTCATGAATACTTAAAGAATGAATACTTTATGATGATATTTCATGAATACTGAACAAGTACTGATGAGTAAACTGCACAGGGTTTGTGATACTGTTGATGGTTATTAGAGTGTGAATGATCAGTGATTGGATTATGGAGACCTTAGAGAATTAAACATGTATATTGTTGTTCTAACACTTAGTTTACTTTTCTATTTGAGTTTCCCAAAACATTTTGTTTCCCACAAACCCAAGTGGGAAAGGTGCATGGGTTATAAAACTGTATTCAATACAAAGCTTTATCTAGGGAAGGCGCAGGGCCCAGTCGATTTTGGTGACCTTCACATAACTTTCAAGGTCATGTCGACACTTTGAAGATTTCAGCATGTAAACCTGCATGTTAAGCTATCTCAAGAACCGTTCACTGGATTTTCTTCATATTTGAAACCAAGCTTTATCTAGGTAAGGCGCAGGGCCCAGTCAATTTTGGTGACCTTCACATAATTTTCAAGGTCATGGCGACACTTTGAAGATTTCAGCACGTAAACCTGCATGTTAAGCTAGCTCAAGAACCGTTCACTGGATTTTCTTCATATTTGAAACCAAGCTTTTATTTTGACCTTCACTTATTTTTCAAGGTCACAGAGACACTTTGAAGATTTCAGCATATTAACCTGCAGGTTATGCTTGTCAGCGAGATACCTCAAGAACCATTCACTGGAGTTTCTTCATCTTTGACACCAAACTTCATCCAGGGAAGGCGCAGGGCCCAGTCGATTTGGTGACCTTCACTTAATTTTCAAGGTCACAGTGACACTTTGAAGATTTCAGCATGTTAACCTGAATTGTCAGCAAGATATTTCAAGAACGGTTCACTGGTTTTTCTTCAAAGACTTTCAAGACTTCCCTTAAATGTTTTTCAAAAAGCAATTTCTTTAGTACTATTTTTGCATATTTCATACACTAAGAGCAAAGGGATAACTGAACCTGAAAACCTTTTCTACATTGGTTCCCCAAAAGGCTCTGAAGCCCAGGAATGAGAAGCTTCACGAACGTTCGACATGGGGAATTGACTTACTGAAGTCCTCTGAAAATCAACAACAAACATTAACACAATTTGGTGACAATCTATATGTTCAAGAAACACTCATTACATCTTGTGGCCAGTTTGTGAGTTCTATGTATGTACCAAATAATCCAGTGATGTCTGTAGATGATACAAGATATTGAATGAAAACCTCCCACCAACATCCAACAGTCTAAAACATCACATTGAGCGAGTAAACTACCAAGTCCATGTTTGGAAACAGTCTCTGAACCAATCATGAACATTCCTTCACCAGTTGACCATGCTTGGGGCATTTGTGATGGTCAGCTTATCCCTATTCTGATGTCGAGAGATCCTGCTCCCCGTGGATTGGTTGAACTGACATCGTGTAAATGCAAAAAGTCAGCATGCCAGCAGAAAGAATGATATAGTGTGTACAGAGGCATGTCTTTTTGTATGGCAGGTGATTGTTGCCCGAACACCTTTGACTTGTTGCCAGTAGATGACTCCGATTCTGACATGAGTGAGTGAGTGAGTTTAGTTTTACACACTCAGCAATATTCCAGCTATATGGCGGCGATCTGTAAATAATCGTGTCTGGACCAGACAATCCAGGGATCAACAGCATGAACATCAATCTACGCAATAGGGATACGATGACATGTGTCAACCCAGTCAGCGAACCTGACAACCAGATCCCGTTAGTCGCCTCTTACGACAAGCATGGGTTATTGAAGATCAATTCTAACCCGGATCTTCACAGGTCCGATTCTGACATGAAGTAAAATATGAAATGAAAGAAAGTGAAAAGGAGGGTTAATTGCAAGCTTATGGATGTATCAAATGTGATTAAAAGTTATCTGATAGAACAATTTGAATAGCTACAACCAAAGCTTAGACGTAGTTATCGGCCATGAAGCATAGTTTTCAAACACTTTTGGATAATGTTATTTCATCAAATATTTTAGGAGTGTAAAGGTTTGATTGACCATATCATTGACATTTAGCTCTATTCCTATACTGTATTAAACATTAGACACCAAATAAGTTGTTTGGATTTCATATCAGTACAAATTTAGTCCTCCACTAAGTATATGTAGTTAAACTACAATGGCGGCCATTTTGAATTCTGGGTAATATGTAAAAATTGCTGATAACATGCCGTCACTCTAGAAGTAAAGAGAAAACAAAAACAACTTGTTTTAGTAACAAAAATAATGTTAACTGCCATTAAATAAATCACCCTCACACATTTCCATGAAAAGTCGGAGAATCGTTAAAATACCCGTCTCAAAGAATAAGACTGTAAAAATTAAATTACCACGATATGACCATACAAAATGACTTGTTTTGTGCCCAAGCCATCACTCTAGGAGAAACAAGTGTCAAAAAACATCACAAGTATCAACTTTGGATGTAAATGGAAACATTCGGTGTTCATTTTTATGTAAATTTAAGTGCTGAGAAGGCAAAACACGACAAAACAAAATGGCGGCCATTTTGATTTTTCAAAATACAATTATGTCAAATAATTTCACAAATACACAAAAGTCAAAATGAAAGTGATCAGATTGATTGTAGTAAAACTATCGATGATTAACTTTGAGGTGTTGTCGGGCAGCAAACCAAACGCGACGAAAATGCTCGCAGACCCCCACCACATATAATGACCCGTAAAAAAACCCTGATACCACAATCTGAGAGTATTACAGGCCTTTCCATGAGCCCAAGACATCATACTAACTGAAAATAGTATCAAACAAAATCAGTACTGGGGAGGCTACGATTTGAAATTTTTCAGCTGCCTCCTCCTGGACTATTAGGAGCCTGTACGACATTCGGAGTGCTGACTGACTGACTATCCTGAATCACAACTTTTTGAAACATGATATAATGGATCAAACAAAGTATACATCCACACACAAAACAGTCATATATGTGCTTTCATTGTATTCTAAAAAGTGACAAACAACTGCCCAAATCTGATAGCCAGCGCGGATGCATATTTTAATCCCAGCTTAGGGCGAAGTCCAGCTGTGACGTCATAGTCATGAGACGACGGCCATTTTCCTTTGCTTACAGTGTTTATATCCAATCGTTGTTCGGCATTCTAGAAGTTGGTGAGTCCAAAATGAAACATACAACTTTATGGATGACAACTTCTTGTTTATTGCATAGAACTGATTACATACCATTGGCCCTTGAAGAGTTAATCAAACTATAGACTCTATCAAATCACCCCATCAGCTTGTTACGTAACACTGAATGAATCGGGCAAGTGTTAAGGGTTAGGTCAGTTTTAATTGACTGATAAAACATGACATACTACATTAAAACATCTTGAGTCTTCCGTAAATATACAATGGAAAAACAAGTAAAAGTTCTGATTAAGGTAAGAGTTTTTTAAAACACTGGAGTGGTGGGTGCGTCCGTACACTCAGCTTGCTCGTGAGGGACTGAGACCGGGTAAAAACTCCGTGCAGCTTATGCGTCTCTCGAGCGCTGTTCGGCAGCTCCGGGCGCCGCCGGAGGTTACCGAGTTAAATCCAAATAAATATATTTATATACGCCTTTGTTTCATGGGCGGATCCAGGAATTTTGAAAGGGGGGTGGGGGTAGGGGGTGGTTTCGAACCCCCTGACACCCCCCACCGCCCCTTGGCTTCGCCAACGCAAAAAAATCTTTAATGTGGTCTTAAGTCATTTTCAAGGGGGTGGGATGGGGGGTCGAAACCCCCCTAGATCCGCCCATGTGTTTATTATCGTATTTGAAATAGATTAATTGTAATGCTTTGTCACAAATATGACCTTGCATACTTGAAACCCTTGTATGTGTCTGATTCCGCAGGAAAGCAGTATATTAGATTGTATGTGCAGAGTGTTTATACAACAATAAGGATAGGATATACATGATAGGATTGATTGGAAGCCACTTATGAAAACAATGATAGGAAAACACACACCAACACATGTACAGTGATTAGGAGCAACATGGGAAAGCATGTAAATGTTACCTTCCAACTTCTAAATGCCCATCACCCGTGAAGGTCCGGGTTAGAATTGATCTTCAGTAACCCATGCTTGTCGTAAGAGGCGACTAATGGGATCGGGTGGTCAGGCTCGCTGACTGGGTTGACACATGTCATCGTATCCCAATTGCATAGATCGACGCTAAAGGTGTTGATCACTGGATTGTCTGATTATCTACACACCGCCGCCATATAGCTGGAATATTAAAAATTGCTGAGTGCGGCGTAAATCTAAACTCACTCACTCTAAATGCCCATCAAGCATCTAAGTTCATTTTCATGAAAACAGTCCTAATGTTAGGACATTATATATACTCCTCCGAAGTCAGTTATCGACATGTTCGTGTTCCGTGATACCCTGGATTTCAGCTTCGTCACACACATATGCGTCTATTTGTTGTAGTTCCTGACAGCATTTACTTTCTAAACCTGTAGGCGTAGGTACACACGCCCCAGTCACACCTAAAATATAAAACACAGCTGTCTGAATAAGACTTTCCGTGTCATGATTTTTCAACGACGATAATTCCCTATTCGCCTACAGTTAAGGCGAGTTGGATGTAGGCGAATTAGGAAGAGGCGTAATGAAAATTAACTGGCCTTACACATATTCAGCCATACCAATATGAGCCCTTGGAATTAATTCATTTAGATGTCGGGAGAAATAAATGTTATTTAAACTATTTACTGTATTGTAGTTGTGGTGTAAAAATGCGAGATTTGAGTAATACTGATTTCTATTCACATACTTCTGTCAACGCGTGGTATATGGTCGACCGGTTGAGCAGGGTGTTTCCTACGAGCGGCATTATCCTGCTCGCGCACGTCCTACACTGGCAGTCGGAATACGGGACTCGTACTCTGTTTTTCTTCAAATACACATGTAGATGTGAGTATATATAGTTTTTGAGAACATTGGACAGGCGATGACTCAACAACGGACAGATAGAAAAACAATAGCACTTCCTTGACCAGTTGATGTGATGGCAGACAAGGCCAAGGGGGGTGACCAGTTAAGGTTATAAATGTCCTATACAGTAATTATTTGCCTGACAAGTCAATGTACAATGCGGAAGTGATAAGGATTGCATAGAATACAGATTAGCATCATATTAATAATTACAATAAAGTCGCCCATGTCTTGAGTACATAGTTTTTACTTTTTAAATATTTGGACGATGGCTGTCCTGAATTAGTCACTATAACACTTCCAACTGTAAGTGTAAGTTCTGATTTCGTCAACTTCACAATTCGCCTACATCCCAACTCGCCTTCACTAAGCAGTGTAGGCGAATAGGACAGCATAAACAACCTTTGAAAATAACGAGTTCGTCAGAGAATATACTTCAAGAGCATTAGAAAGATGCTTTAATTGAATTGTTCACATGAAACAGTGTGCTTGCAAAGAAAATGTCAATTCTTTACGTAACATGTAAATCAAAACGAGAAACATTTTTGAAAGGTGTTTGTTTTACAGATCGTTGTTTTTGAAGTGGGTTGAAACATCCTGAAGGTGATATGTTGTTTTTAAAGTGGGGGGCGTGTCTTTGGTTAGCTTTTTAAGGAATACATTGTTTTCGCAACAATAAAAAGAGATGGAAATTAGTTAGAAGTATCTGTTGGATTTATACATTTTAATCCACTTCTCAGAGGGATTAAGTAAATATGTACTATGCAGAGGGTATTTAAGTTAATATTTCCAAATTACGATCAGTCTGAATGTCACTCCAGAGAGCAGAGTTTGTTGTCCCAGCGAGGAGGTCAGCAAGTTTTACATGTTGGTCATCGTTACCGTCTGAACGGGAAGACTCAAGCTGCCATATGCTGGATATGTGTTGTTGGGGGATGCAAGGGGAAGTGCAGCACCATCGGTGAATTCATTCACACAACTATTCCCCATACCCATCCGCCGCTAGACAATGAAGATCAGGTTTCTTAGCAGAATCCGAAACAAGATGAGGTCAGATATTGCTCCTGCCAAGACCATCTACAACGAAGAACTGGCCAATATAGACAATGATGATACTGCTGCAACAGCGCCGTCCTTAGAGACGTTCAAGTCTGAACGTTTTAATCTGACATGTACCGTCATCAGTCAAAAGTCTTTCCTCTTCTACCAAGAAACCTGGAAGACGTCGATCTACAATGAGTTTGGACAGAGACCACGACGGAAGACAGTTCCTGGCTGCAGATGACGGCGAAAGCGAGAAGATTCTTGTGTTTTCCAGAAAGTGAGTGAACTTTGTTTTACGCCGCACTCAGCAATATTCCAGCTATATGGCAGCGGTCTGTAAATAATCGAGTCTGGACCAGACAATCCAGTGATCAACAGCATGAGCACTGCACAATTGGGAACCGATGACATGTGTCAACCAAGTCAGCGAGCCTGACCACCCGATCCCGTTAGTCGCCTCTTGCGACAAGCATGGGTTACTGAAGATCAATTCTAACCCGAACATTCACGGGTGTTTCCACAACAGACATGCTTGAGATGCTTAGTGAATCGGACACATTTTACATGGATGGTACTTTCTACGTGTGCCCCGGCTTGTGGTGACAAGTGTATGTGATTCACTGTCTAAGAGGGAACATTATGTCTCATGTGGCATATTCTCTCCTCCCCAAGAAGTCTAGAGAAGTATATGTGCGTCTCTAACATTCTCAAGACATTGACATTGACCACATTTGGAGTAGAACTGTCAGTTTGATGATTGCTGTAGGGGTCGTTGTCGGCACGGGTACCACAGACACCCGAGGTACGTTTCTGTATACAGAAATGTACATAATCAAGTCAAATTCAGAAACGTACTTGGTGCCCCAAACGATGGATGAGTCCATTTTTCTAAACCCAAAATCTAGAAAATCTACCGCTTCATGCTGTACTTTCCTTTTGCTTGATTTCGAGTGATACTGTGCCTCGCGACTTGAATATTCATCCTTGTGTATGCTTGTTCTTATATAAGCAGTCCAATGAATCGCATACAGTATGACAGTTCTAATGAAGAAAACGGTGCAGTGCATAATGGAATCGTCCTAGGGTACATTTCTGTATTCTAATTTTGGCTTGGGTCCATATCTGTGTACTGAAACGTACCTGGGGTACATATCTGTAGTCCCCTTGCCAACGACCCCTTCAACCACATTAGCCAGTAGAGTGTATCTTGAATCGACTTTGATGAATTCTCTTCGCCCGTTCATTATGTCTTTGTTTCAGAAGGGATGTCATCATCTCTATTGCACCATTATTTTATTCAGCACAGACTCTCACTTACAAGAGAAGTTGATTTCGATGTTTATTTTAGTGCCATACAAAATTACAAATAGGGCTAAAATTGGCAGTATGCTTGTATTCATAAATATAAAAAGAGAAACATTTGACAGATAAGGATGCAGGCCTATAAAGCCTTATTCACTCATTCGCTCAAGCACTGAACAACATTTATCGATGGGCATTTTGTTTTCAGATGCTTGGGTCAGGGGTCAGAGGTCGTGCCCTGCAGGGGGCGTGGCAAGTTATTCAGAACCACCTGCGACAGATACAGACGAGTGGTGTACAAGCAGCAGCGGCTGCCGACGTCAAGCCATTCTTCTACCAGGATATCTTTGAACATGAGAAGAAAGCAGAAGTCCCATGGAAAAGGTTGTCAGGTTTGTCTTCAAAAGTTCAATTTGTCTTATTTGATTTGAATTTATCTGCTCGGTTGTCGGATAAGTTTAGTTTTACGCCGCGCTCAGCAATATTCCAGCTATATGGCGGCGTTCTGTAAATAATCGAATCTGGACCAGACAATCCAGTGATCAACAGCATGAGCATCGATCTACGCAATTGGGAACCGATGACATGTGTCAACCAAGTCAGCGAGCCTGTCCACCCGATCCTGTTAGTCGCCTCTTACGACAAACATGGGTTACTGAAGATCAATTCTAACCCGGATCTTCACGGGTATTAAAACCAGAAAGGCTTTCTTTTTAATAAAGTTCAGACAGTTGAAATGAATTTGCTTCAACGAAGTTCTCAAAATGGGTATATTCCAAAACACCGGCACATACGCTTTTATTTTTCACATAAATTCTCATGATTGAATTGCGCAATGTTTTTACATGCCCCCTCCAATCATGGACATTTTGTCATTCTACATGTTATTTGTATGTGGTGACAATGTCATTGTTTTCGTCCTTGTAGGCGACTATGTATCGACGTTTGATGTGAAGGGAAGGAAGGTTCTTCACATACAACCTGAAGCCTTGACCTTGCTGGCAGAGAATGCCATGATTGACATTTCTCATCTCCTTCGACCCGGACATCTCCAGGTGATATGATCACAACAATATTTCTGTTTCATAATTTTATCTGATTTTTTTTTTAATGTTTTGAAGCATTTGATATGCAAGATTGGAATGGGGAATTGGTAAATATTCTTATGTACAAAATTGCTGACCCCCAACCCTAGTACATGTGTACAAAACTGATTACCCCCGTCCCCAGAACAAAATTGGTGACACCCCCCTTAAAATCATCACAAATCCCCCCACCCCAAGCCATAAATTATAAACGGTCCCTAAATATATACAATTTATAGTTATAATTTTCAATTCATCTACAATATAGATTTCATCTGACATAGTCGCAATCATAGGTTTCTGTTGTACATGTTGTACACAAGGGACGCAACTCTGTACAGCGAATTGTGGCACCTCTGAGGAAAGGGTCAGTGATGCCCCTCCCATCCCTTGTTTTGATGGACAAGGTCACATATCATCAGTACTTCAACTCCTCTTACTAAAATCAGATATTTTGCTCCTTTCAGGTGTGATGTTAGTACAGTCATCTAACATAATCATAATGATAAGTTCTTGGTATGCACAAGGGACATAACTCTGTTCACTGAATTCTGGCACCTTCAGGGAAAGGGCCAATAGTGCCCATCCCATGTCTTTGTGGACAAGGACACAGATCATCACTACTTCAACTTTTTTTTATTTATTCAGATATTTTCCTCCATTGGTGTGGTGCCTTTGCAGTGAGATCTGACTAACTAATGGTCTGTTTTGTGTTTTTATTGCAGCAACTGTCAAATATCCTTAAAGATCCTGACGCCTCCAGTAACGACAAGTTTGTGGCTCTGGAACTGTTGAAGAATGCAAATGTTGCAGCTGGGATGGTACTGCCTGGTTGCCAAGATACAGGAACAGCTATCTGCATTGGTAGGTATTCAATTTCTTCACTATTCCAGAGTAAGGTTTCAATGGGCAGAATCATTTCATTACTCATATCTTGACTTGGCCGATTTTGAATCATTGCTGAAGAAAATATGAGTAGAATGAATTGGTGTACTCTTTCCATTGCCATGTAGTTGTATACAAATCAAACATCAATAGCATTTGGGGTACTTGGGCTATCACAAGGCCCCCAGAAACGTCCGGTCAGACCACCAACATCTCTTGACTGTTCCAAGAACTAAACTGAAACTCTTTGGTGAAAAGGCTTCAGTGCATCAGTCCCAATACTTTGGAACACTCTCCCTCCTGCCATAAAGAATTCACCAACTATTGTCTCTTTTAAGTCCCAGTTAAAAACCCACCTGTTTGCTAAATATTACTCTGAGTGATCTCTTCCAGTCCTGTTGAGACGTGTTTTACTGTTTGTACAGTATATCAAGTTTGTAGTGTGACAGTATATCAAGCGCTTTGAGCATGCATGCTGGATGGACTATAGCGCTATACAGGGGCGTAGGAACGGGGGGGCGCTTGGGTGGGCTTAGCCCCCAACTTTTTAAAACGAAACCATATCTACTTTACCATAACTACAATTTCATTTTGATTTTCAATACTTTTCATAAATTGGCCCCCCACTCTGATAACCGTTCCTACGCCCCTGCTATACAAATACCCCTATATATTGATCAGATTTAGAGTTATCTCCCTTCCACAATACACCCTCATTCCCTGTGTCCGTGTGTTTGTGTGTGTCTGTTATGAGGACTGCTTGTACATGTACTGTTATTGTGAACAATATGAACAGGGCTCTTAGGTAAGTGACTCTCAGAGTTTGAGTTCGAATCCCGGATGGGACTCAACCTAACAGAAGTACTAGAATCAGTACTTTATTGAGAAAGTGTAATCCCAAATATCACATATGTTAAACTTGAATATGTCCTTGGTCTTGCAGCAGGTCTTGGCTAAGGCCATCATGGTGATGTCTTTCAATGTTTGCCTCCAGGTAAGAAAGGTCAGTATGTGTGGACAGAGGGGAGGGATGAGGATGCTCTTTCAAGAGGGGTATACAACACTTACACCAAGAGGAACCTCAGGTATTCCCAGGTAATAATGAGTGAGTGAGTGAGATTAGTTTCATGCCGCTTTTAGCAATATTCCAGAAATATCACAGCGGGGAACACCGGAAATGGGCTTCACACATTGTACCCATGAAGGGAATCGAACCCAGATCTTCAGTGTGACGCTTTAACCACTAGGCTACCCCACCGTCCCTGGTAATAATTGACAGATGAACTGTGTATTGATAAACCATTAACAAGAAATGTTTGGTTACTTTTAAGTTTTCCTTAAATATGCAGTGAGCTTTTCTAATTTGGCTGCTGGTTCTAAAACACTCACCTCTTACACTCTCATATGAATATCCACCTAGATGGCGCCACTGGACATGTTTAAAGAGGTCAACACGAAGACAAACCTTCCTGCCCAGATCGAGCTGTACGCCACAGATTCCTCTCAGTATGACTTCCTGTTTATGGCCAAGGGAGGTGGCTCGGCCAACAAGACATTCCTCTATCAACAAACAAAGGCGTTGCTGAATCCTGAAAGACTTATGAAGTTTGTAGATGAAAAAATTAAGGTCAGTAATCAATATATGTGAGAAATGTAACATATGTTATATTTGGGATTACACTTTCTCAGTAAAGTACAGATTCTAGTACTTTTTAAGGTTGAGTCCCATCCGGGATTCGAACCCACACCCTCAGAGTCAGGCCCCTAATCGCCAGCACACAATGTCAGACGCCTAGACCGCTCAGCCACCGTGGCTTCCACAAAAATGGAAGTCGGACAACTGGTAGTCCAGACTGCGGACTTTGTGTACCCCTCTGATAAGTGTCAGCCGCTGTGGCTGAGCGGTCGATACGATGTGATTCTGAAGAATCTGCTCACGGTAATAAAGGGCATTAACTCTCTCTTGACAAACATGAAGGCAGTCCCGTGATTGTAATTTATTCCACCTTAGACCATGACACTCCCCGCACCCAAAGGTCTGTCTGAACCACACACTCCTCAGCATAACGTTCACCACGTCTACACCAAACACATAATCGTCCGTCAGCATTACATAGATGAAGACGTGACTCGTCAGTGACTACCACACCATGCTATTGTTGTAACCTTTACTGAAAATGCCTGCTAGCCCATTGTATACGCTCATTACGGTGTCTGTCAGTCAGAATTGGTCCAACGTAAGGACGTCGAGTATGGAGCCCTGTAGCGTGAAAACGGCGTCGCATGGAGTCATCGCTGATGACCCCAACGTCAACCCTGAACTAGTTCAGCAGTCCTGGCAGTCGGCAGTGTTCAATCACCGATATGGACAAGGTGAATATGGCGATCCTGATGGAACGTCGTAACACGTTGTTGCCAACGTCATTGAAGGTCACGGGTGCTGCCTGTCTACTGATGTCGTCTATGAAGCCTAATGATGGTGGAGTGGCCAAGTCCAAGTTGTCGAGCAGCATTCCTGCTGCTGGTGCCATCCTGAATCATGCCTAGTGCACGTTCTCCTTTGTGAGGTGTTAACCTCGGCATCTCTGTCCTCGTTTCACAATCGTTAGTGAAGCAATGAGAATCGGTTCTCATACACCTGCTTTTAATGTCACAGTCGGTATGATTTCAGAATGAAATTCGCGCTTCTTTCATGGCGTGGCTGCATGTTGATGCAAGTTGAGTCATACTGTGGACAGGAATTTGCTTCTAAACCATTTTTTTCAACTGGACATGCCCTTCGACTTCATGTTAGTTATATTCATTGATCATTGTCATGCTGAAATCCATCTTGATGAAAATATGGACAATTTTAGACTGGTGCGTTTTCAATGATATTCAGTATATTTGAGCAACAGACGCCGGTCAGTTATGATTGGTGATACTAAATCTGAAAGTATCACGCTACTCTGTGGGGTTCCCCAAGGATCTGTGCTAGGTCCAGTCCTGTTTGTGATGTACACAAGTAGTCTCAGCTCCAGCATCAGACAGTATGGGCTGAACCACCATGCATATGCTGACGACACCCAGCTTTATCAAGGTTTCAAAGCAAGCGAAACAGTCGATGCACTTGTAAGATATACTGATTGCACTAAATCAATAAAAACATGGATGACATCAAACATATTAAAACGATGGAAACACTGAGGCCTTACTCGTTGGACCCAGACAGCGCATTCAACAGTGGAAAATCATGTCAGTGGGTGTTGGAGACCTGGGTGTCATCTTTGATTCTCCCTTGTCAATGGAAGCCCTAGTTATCAAGTGTGCCAGACCTGCTACTTCCATCTAAGAACTATTGGTAATATTCGCCATCTTATTACCACAGACGTAACAAAGACACTAGTCCAACTACTCGTGATGTCCCGCATTGACTACAGCAACAGTCCGTTGTATGGTTTGAGTCAGGAACTGCTGAACAAACTCCAGAAGGTACAAAATAGGGCAGCTCGTATTGTGAGATGTCACATAACACAGGTATTGATGTCCCTACACTGGCTTCCAATAGAAGCCCGGATCCACTTCAAGATCTTGTGTTTTGCCTACCACTGTTTGAATGGTACATCACCGAGCTATCTATCAGAACAGATCTCTCCATACCAGCCTTCACGATGTCTAAGGTCTGAAAACCAATGCCTACTTGCAGAACCAAACTCACGACTAAAATCCTACGGCAACAGATCGTTTCAAGTAGCAGCATCTCAGTTATGGAACTCACTACCTCAGAACATAAAAGAATCCCCCACCCTTGAGACATTCAAAACCAACCTAAAACCTTTCTCTTCAGAAAGTTCTATCCCCACGAACTATCTCCTCCCGTGAACTTCTCATCTGTGACTATTGTAGCGCCTTGAGCATGCACCTTTGTGGATGGAACCCAGCGCAATATAAATAGACATTATTATTATTGTTATTATATGAATGAATATGTATCACTTGTTGAAAGGACAGGTGTTTTTTGCATTGTTTCAATATAATGTATATTTTCATCTGGTTGGCAAAGTGAACATAAGGCCTAAAAAGAAAAATGTTGTGGTTCCGATTACCCGACCGACCCTGGTGCCGACCCTATTTTTAAAAAAAAATATAATAAGCGTTCAGATACCATTGCTTTTTCCAGGCACCGACGGACATCGGTCATTCTGGTAGTGAAAGTTGACATGGTGGCCGCAAGCTTGATTAAATACACAATTAAACATTGATAAATGTGTTATTAGTTTGTACTTTACTTCTAAAAAAAGTAAAAAAATATATTAAAAATTCCTATCTACCCAAATTTTAAAGAGCTGTAATCGGAACCACAACATTTTTTATTTGGCCAAAGTGACATGTAGAATATTGAAAGTTGGTTACTGATTGGGTTCAGATTCTGTGACCAAAAATATATTGCTTTTTGACAATGTAATTGTCTAGTTTCTTGTAGATATTGTATCTATTTTATGCATACTTTACCATGTTTTCAGATTTCTCATTTGAAACCAAATAGTCATTTGCATGATAATTACAATGTTAAAATATGAAATGTTTTTTTCTGAACAGTTAGGGACAGGTCCTTTATTGTAAGGGGAACAAATTGGGCAGGGTAGAAATATGACTGTCTCAAGGGAAAGTGATCTAAAATAATATGGATAGTTGGGAGGTTCAGGAAAAATGGACATTTTATGACAAAATGTACAGTTCTTTTCTATTTCGTCTTTTTGGTGAGGGTCATGAAAATTTGTACAAGGACATAGGGAAAGTCATCCCAAAACTTGACAAGCTTGAGGGGAGGATAATGATTTGTAGTATTTCAGTGCAACAAAAGCCTCTGACTCTTTCTTCTTCCAGACATTAGGTACAGCTGCCTGCCCTCCCTATCATCTGGCCATCGTGATTGGAGGAACGTCAGCAGAACTCACATTGAAGACCGTCAAACTGGCCTCCACACGATACCTGGATACTCTCCCCTTGTCAGGTAATGATGGTGGTGGTGGAATTGGGTTTAACGCCGTGCTTGAGAATATTTCGCTCACATGACGACGTGCATGCGTGTGTATGTGTTTGTGTGGCTGCTTGCACTAGCCCAGACTGAAGCTGGTTTTATAGTGCTAGCCCACTGAGATACCATGCCGCAGTGAAGCATGAATACCCCACTCAGACACATTATATTGACTCCGAGCCGACCAGTCCTTGTTGTACCCATTAATGCCGAGCGCCAGGCAGGGACCAACAAGTACCATATTTTAACGTCTTTTTGGTGTGAGGAGACCATGGATCGAACCTGCGACCTTCCGCTCTCCAGGCGGACGTCAGGTAATGATACGTTATAGGGATAACATTGTTCTGTAACTTTGTGTGGCCTGGGAACCTTTGGTAACAAATTTTGGAGGTTCCAGGGTATCCGACTAGATGAAGATTTCAAACCAAAACCTTTTTGATGCAGAGTAAACCATACTCACTCACATGTTTTTCATTTATCAGGCAATGACCATGGCAGAGCTTTTCGTGACCTTGAACTGGAGCAGCAAATCCACAAACTGACTCAGAAAATGGGGATTGGTGCTCAGTTTGGCGGCAAATATTTCTGTCATGATGTGCGAGTCATCCGCCTACCGAGACATGGAGCTTCCTGCCCTGTGGGTATAGGGGTGTCGTGTTCAGCAGACAGACAGGTAAGGCTTGTTAGTTGGGATGGTAAGGTAGCGAGGTGGTTAAAATGTTTAACGATGAGACCTAAGTTCGAATCCTGTTTTGAGTCCCTCTGAATTGTCGTTGATGGAAACACATTGAGAAGGGCTGCAACGATTTGGTTCATCGGAAATCGAATCTGACACCTTAGTTTCGATTTTCAGTAACCATTATCACTATTTCGATTCGATATTTGAGTGATGTTCTGTGTTTAAACATCATATCGTATATATATGAAAAAGGTTACATCATTTACATTCCTGATTTTCTAGTGAAATCTTGGAAAAAGTTTTCAGTGTGATAAGTGTTTTTAAATAAACTCTGAAATCTGATGTTTTACTTGTATGAAGAATCGAATCGAAAATGATCGAATCGAGGGTCCAATATCTGGAAAGCTCGTAAAACTAAAATCAGAATGACAAGGTCTGGGTGAATCGTTCGCAGCCCGAACATTGAAGTGCAGCCCTAACAGAGATTTTCTATTTCTCAGAAAGTATCCTCAACATATTTTAGCAAGATTGCTTCTTCTTTAGGCACTTGGCAAAATAACAGAAGAGGGCGTGTTTCTTGAACAGCTGGAGACTGATCCCATCAAGTATCTTCCTGAGGTGGAGGCAGAGGACCTGGGAGGAGAGGTTGTGCAGGTAACATATTGTACCAGATGGCTCAACTCAAACACTAATACCTGTGAAGATCTGGGTTAGAACTGGTTTTCAGCAACCCATGCTTGTCGTAAAAGGTGACTAATTGGATCGGGTGGTCAGGCTTGCTGACTTGGTTGATACATCGTATCCCAGTTGCGTAGATTGATGCTCACGCTGTTGATCACCGGATTGCCTGATCTAGACTTCGTTATTTACAGGCCGACTCCATATAGCTAGGATTTTCGTGAGTGTGGCGTTGAAGAACAAAACAAACAAAGCAGGTCAGAATAGAGGTTACATCTCAAATGAAAATGTTGTTTAAGCTGTTGGGGATCCCTAATGGCAAATTAAATAATGAAATATAATTTCAAATCTGTTAAATTAATGAATATGAAACCAACAAAGCAGGAGTCTGGTTGAGTCTTATCTATCTCCGTTATCCTTGTGTAACCGTAAAGAAATATACAGTGAAAGGGGAAGAAATATTACATCAATGCGTTAAGCAGTAGAGCTGAAACGGTATGCTCTTCACGGTACGGTATGTAGCATTTATTAAGAGAATTTAACATTTTCCTTCCATTGTTGGTACGGGTCTCGCTCAGTTCATCTCAAATCTAAAATAGACAAAATTGTTAACACTGCAAGTAAAATCGCTGGAGTCAGATTTGAATTTTTATCATCAATATATGAGCGGCAACTCGTGAATCAAGCTGTAAAAATCATATCTGACCGTACTCACTGCTTAAATTCGGAATACAACCTCCTCCCTTCAGGCCGCCGCTACAAAGTTCCAATTGTGAAAACTAAGAGAGACCGTACATCCTTTATTCCAAGTACCATATCTCTCTTAAACAAATGCGAAGATACCTAAATCAAAGAATTTATGTAAATATGTTTGGTATCTCTCTAATGTGTCAGTAGCTCTGCTGATGTAACACAAATTCCTGAAAAGGCATTAGAGTATTATTCTATACCATTCTATTCTATCTTCACGGTTCAGTCTGTTTCGGTTCGGTATATGATAACTTACTTCCAGGAAAAAAAACGGCCGTCGAGCAAAGAAATACATAGATTTTGACAAAGTGATTCGATTTCTAGACATTTTAGAAAAGGTTTAAAATATCAATAAAATGACGGTACGAAAACCGAAAATACTGAATTTTTAGATTGCATTACGGTGTAGTACCTAAACCGAGGGCAAAATACAGCGGTTCTACTAATACTGCAGTTTACCGTTTCACCCCTATTAAGAAGGGTTTAGTTGTTAACTGTGATGTCAATAGAGCAGCTGTCAGTTTGCAAATGGCAATAGTTGGCATCCTTAGAATACCCATGAAGCTTTTCAAGATAATACAAATATACTATTAGTCTGAAACACAATTAGGAATTGTTCCGTGAAGTTCAAAATAGTAGCTGCTTAGAGGATTGTGAAATTAATTATGTATGCATTCTCATTTGCAAACCGATATTCAGTCACTGAACTAAAAATTTGTGAAGCATGTAATTTCTTATCTACGTTCTGTACTCTCTCTCTTATGCTCGACAGCAGAGTGGAAACAAACTGTAACTGAAGTTTTTTGCCTCTCGTGTACCATTCGCCCGAACACACCCTGCTGCACCCATATCTAGACAGTCTGGCAGCTCCTGAAAAGCGTGAAGCTTGTCCTAAGATTGACCATGTGATCCCTTTGTGTAGTTATTCTTTTTCTTGTCGCACTAGGGTGCTGATGTGCTGTGAACTGTGGCAAATGAACTGACTTAAATAACCCTTAACATCATTGGGAAAGAAGATTCAACGTCAAGAAAAAGAAAAGATTGCATGGACTGCAAGAAGACGTTCTCCATCTCGGACCCACATGCATCCTGCATTGACTGCAATGGTCTTTGAGATTGGAAGACCAGGTACCGCCTATGCGCCAAGTTGAATGATAACAACTTTGCTAACTATACTCCAGACATAAGTCAGATGAATCAGGCTCCACTTCAGCTTAGAGATCGGAGAAAGAAAGATCTGATAAGAAGTCACACAGAGCTTCCTCTTTGATGTCTGATTTTCTGGATGCACCTTACTTAAGTGAGTATTTGAGACGAAGCAGATGCAGCAATCAGAAACGCCCGCTAAATCAGACCTCATGGGACAAACGCTACAGAGTAGACCTGTTTCGCCAACCATGGTCGAGTCCTTGCCTATTCAACGGGATCATCCATGACTTATCTACCAATGTGGAGAGAGATACTCAGTTCCAAGTCTCGGTCAAACTTCTGAAACTACAGAGGATGCAAGTACAAGACTCAGATGCCTGGATCAGTATGTTGAGACAAATCCCGACTTATGAGATTCCTTTCGGGGCAGAAACTGCAGAGTTTTCCTGGGTCATAGCGAAAAATCAACTGCCAGGGCAACCGGATAGACTCTTCACTTTACCGCCATTGTCCACCATACTCGGGCCTGACGATACTCTGTCCAGTAAGAGCTCTGAGGATACACATCGCTGCCTCGCAAGACTGTCGCAGGTTACATAATCGCATGTTTATCCCGCTCTCAACAGCCTCTAGAGCAGAAGTCTCCCACACCATGTTGGCCTTCTGTATGAGATCAACCATCCTCTAGGCCTTCGCCAGGTTCCCCGTCCAGCTGCGTCGAACCCTCATGAGACTCGGGCCTAGCATCTACAATGGATTTTCACAGCAGCTATTCGTTGACATCTATTATGGAGGGATGTTTCTGGACATCAGAGACAGTCTTTGTCCCCCACTACGTACGAGACCTCTCAGTGACTGATGTAGAAGGACTCCATCAGTTTGGGCCCTTTTTACTGGCGCATCAGCTGTCCTTGGCCCAACAACACAGACAGTGTAACGTTATCCTCTGTCCATGGAATCGGTGTTACCTTGTAAAAGTGAATCAAGGTGTCTTCATACGACTTCATCTTGGTCCTACTTTCCTTGGGCATGGATCTTCCTCGCCTAGAACCACACTGGAGTATTGCAGTGCATTCATCGCTGGGCAACTTCATCATAGACTGAGAGGCCAGTCTTGTACTACGATGCAGAGGTGATTGACACTCATACTCGTTGACCTCCACCCTAGCAAGCAATCACGTCAGTGGAGTATGAATACCGAATTTCAGTGGATTCCGATGCGCTCTGTTCCTGGCTGCCGGACATATCCTTGATCAAGCTTAAGCAAAGGAGCATGGGTCATTCGATGAATGTTAAACAGTTGAGATAACCGAACCGTCCGCCTTTCGCCGTTATATGTGATCGCAGGGGTGGTTTCGAAGCAGGGGCTGGCCTGACTAGAGTCACAAGACAAGAAGAAAGTCAGGGAAACTTGTCTGACAAATGATACAGTGTGAAACGCACATAAACACGCACAGCCAATGTCAAATTGATCATTGCTGACACCTTTTCATGATTTTTGCTGCCCATGTTTAGTTTTGGGCTAGTTTCTCGGTGAAAGGTTACTTTATTTTGCACAAATCGTGTTGGCAGAAATGCTTTGTAAACTGCCTGAAACCGAACATGAAACACGACAACAATGGTGACAACTAATGTTATTTAGGTGACTACCATTGACTGGCGAATACAAGACTTATATCCCAATGACTACTTTGCCCATCTTGTACCCCATGTTTTATAGGTTGATCTGAACCGACCAATGAGCGAGGTGCTGCAACAACTTAACGAGTATCCAATCAAAACTCGTCTGACGCTAACAGGGACGCTGGTGGTTGCGAGGGACATCGCCCATGCCAAGCTGCAGGAGAGGTTAGACAAAGGGGAAGGGATGCCCCAGTATATGAAGGACCACCCATTGTACTATGCTGGGCCTGCCAAAACACCTGAGGTAAGGGAAAAAACTCTGGAATAAAGACCATGATCGGTAGCATTGCACAAATACACGGATATTTTTGTTGCATCTTGACCAGATTTCGAATTCCAATTTGGGATTTAATTCTTCCTGATATCTCTGGAATATTGAGAAAAATATACAAATATATAATAAATGTACATAAAAGACTGATGCCTATTTAACAGTATGTGTAGCAGTCCAGTTGAGAAGTGGTCAGAACAAGTGTCAGCTGATTCTTCTTCCAACCATTTGTATCAATGTTCCAGTCTTCATTCTCCCGACAGTGAATGTTTTGTAGCCAAGATTTCATCACAATTCTTCAGCACTATGCTTGTGCAGAAATGAGTAGCACAACAGTAGTATTGTGTCATTAAACAAAAAACAAATAATATGTATGAACCGGACATTTATTTTCTCTGATCCAGGGGTATGCAAGTGGATCATTTGGCCCCACATCAGCGGGCAGGATGGACTCCTATGCAAACTCGTTCCTTGCAGCAGGGGGAAGCAAGGTCATGTTGGCCAAGGGCAACCGCAGTCGCCTGGTCAGTTAGGAGGGATAGGGAGTTTGCCAACTGTAAACCTCAAATCTTTCATGCTCAATGTTCGATTCTTAAAATAACTTTCAGGAATTGGAAATGGTTTTATATCTCTCAATGAAGTTCATGGGACAAACTTTTCAAGTTACATTGGCTTCTTGTCTAGTCCATCATCAAGGTTTTCTTCTCAAGTATTTCTTCTTGTTGGGATTCTTAAGTTTCTATATCTAACAACCAGTGTTAGGGGTTGTCCACACAGGTAACCAAACTCCCTGTCCACGCAGGTAACCAAACTCCCTTTCTGAACAGGTAACCAAACTCCATGTCAACACAGGTTACCAACTTCACTGTCCACAGAGGTAACTAAACTGCATGTCCACGCAGGTTACCAAACTCCATGTCCGAACATGTAACCAAATTACAAAACTCCATGTCCACACAGGTAACCAATTTCCATGTCCACACAGGTTACCAAACTCCATGTCTACACAGGTAACCAAATTCCATGTCCACACAGGTTACCAAACTCCATGTACACAGGTAACCAAACTCCATGTCTACACAGGTAACCAAATTCCATGTCCACACAGATAACCAAACTCCCTGTGCACGCAGGTAACCAAACTCCCTCTCTGAACAGGTAACCAAACTCCATGTCTACACAGGTTACCAAATTCACTGTCCACAGAGGTAACTAAACTGCATGTCCATGGAGGTTACCAAACTCCATGTCCGAACATGTAACCAAATTACAAAACTCCATGTCCACACAGGTAACCAAATTCCATGTCCACACAGGTAACCAAACTCCATGTCCAAACAGGTAACAAACACTAAGTCCACACAGGTAACAAACCTCCATGTTCATACAGGTAACGAAAGCATGCAAGACCCACGGAGGGTTCTACCTGGCATCCGTCGGGGGCCCAGCAGCCATTCTGGCCCAGAACTACATAAAAAATGTCGAAGTCCTTGAATATCCTGAACTTGGTAAGTTGTTAACCCCTTTCCCAAAACAATTGTATGGAACTGACAGATGTAAGTCCATATTAAACTGCATTCGATTACAATAATCATAGCTCTTCAAACCCAGGGTTTCAATCTACAACGCCGTGTTTTCAATATGATGATCATTACTATATATTAATGTCTCGGCCTGAGGACTGACTAAATGAATCAGGGCTCAGGACAATATGGAAATATTCATAAACTTGTGTTGCATCAGAACCACGAACTGGACCAATGGTCACAAAGATCATGTATGAGTGAGTGAGTTTAGTTTTACGCCGCACTCAGCAATATTCCAGCTATATGGCGGCGGTCTGTAAATAATCGAGTCTGGACCAGACAATCCAGTGATCAACTGCATGAGCATCGATCTGCGCAATTGGGAACCGATGACATTTGTCAACCAAGTCAGCGAAACTGACCACCCGATCCCGTTAGTCGCCTCTTACGACAAGATAGTCGCCTTTTTATGGCAAGCACATGGGTTGCTGAAGACCTATTCTACCCCGGATCTTCACGGGTCAAGATCATGTATAGTCTGATGTGAAAATAGTGACTGAGTTTAGTTTTACGCCGCACTCAGCAATATTGCAACTATGTGATGGCGGTCTGTAAGTAATCGAGTCTGGACCAGACAATCCAGTGATCAACAGCATGAGCATCGATCTGCGCAATTGGGAACCGATGACATGTGTCAACCAGGCCAGCGAGCCTGACCACCTGATCGCATTAGTCCCCTCCTACGACAAGCATGGGTTACTGAAGGTTCATTCTAACCCGGACCTTCACGGGTCTGATGTGAAAATATGGAAGACTGTACTCTACATAACATATGTTATATTTGGGATTACACTTTCTTAGTAAGGTACAAATTCTAGTACTTTTTGTTGGGTTGAGTCCCATCCGGGATTTGAACCCACACCCTCAGAGTTTGGCACCTAATCACCAGCACATAAAGTCAGCCGCCTAACCCACTAAGCCACTAAGACTTCCACCAAAATGGAAGTCGGACAACTGGTAGTCTAGACTGCGGACTTTGTGTACCCCTCTGATATGTTTATACTCTACGGCTTTGAACCAAGTTTAGAGGTTGTACACAGAGCCACATATGCAACTGTGACATTGCCTCTAAGAGATGAGGACAATCATTAACGGCCTGCTTGATAAAATGTGCGTTCTAGAATGACTTCAATGCTACTTGAAAGGACTGACAAGCCAAGAGATATTAAGGCAGCGTAATCCTTTGTCAGTATTCAACATTTTTTTCAAGGTAAAAGTGTCAGAGAAAGTTTTCATTTGGCAGTAATCCACCGTGGTTGTTTTGCAGGTATGGAGGCAATATGGCGAGTGGAGGTAGAGAATTTCCCAGCATTCATTGTGGTGGACAATAAAGGAAATGACTTTTTCCAGGAATGGCAGCTGGAGTAATGTGACTGGTGTAACCTAGGGCAAGAGGATTCTTGATGGATGCTTTGTGGTGGAGACACACTTGTTGGAGATGGATGGTTCATTAATTCATGCTTCATATGAAATGATACTGAGAAATACTTGTGAAGCGGGAAGCTGAGTGTTTTGTAAGGGATACTTTTAAAATTACTTAACGCAGAATGATGTTTCATGCATACTCTATGAATTACTTAATTCGTGAAGATACTGATTAAATATTTAGATGATTCTTCATGAATATCTTGACATGGATTCCCTTGAAAGATTTTACGGATTCTTGTGAATACTGCATAAAGATTTCATAAATACAGCATAAGAATTCTTCCCAAGTACTTCAATAAGAAATCTTTGTAAATATTTCAATCAGGATTCTTCATGAACACTTCAAGGAATACTTCCACACAGATTCTTTATTTTTCGATATTTTGTAAGGAGTCACATTTCAAAAGGATTCCTTATAATACTTCAAGAATAAATAATGAGTGAGTTCAGTTTTACGACTCGCTCAGCAATATTCCAGCTATATGGCAGCGGTCTGTAAATAATTGAGTCTGGACCAGACAATCAAGTGATCAACAGCATGAGCACAGATCCACCCAATTGGGTGAGTGAGTGAGTTTAGTTTTACGCGCACTCAGCAATATTCCAGCTATATGGCGGTGGTATTACGCAATTGAGGGCCGATGACATGTATTCACTGACTGACTGACTGAGTTTGGTTTTACGCCGCTTTAAGCAATATTCCAGCAACATCACGGCGGGGGACACCAGAAATGGGCTTCACACATTGTGCCCATGTGGGGATTCGAACCCGGGTCTTCGGCGTGACGAGCTAACGCTTTAACCATTAGGCTACCCCACCGCCCCGACATGTATTCAAGAATAAATACTTTATGATGATTTTTAATAAGTACCTATGCCCAAACTGAACAGGGTTTGTGATACTGTTGACATGTTTGAGTGTGAATGATCAGTGATTGTACTTTAAAGAATTAAACATATATATTGTTGTTCAAATACTAAGTGTACTTGTCTATTTAAGTTTCACAAAACATTTTGTTTCCAACAAACCTAAGTGGGAAAGGTGCATGGGTTATAATACTGGTGTATATCTGAGAAATTTCAGATATACTTTCATGAAAGAATTCAAACAAATTGAGGTTTGACTATTGAAATCAAAGGGATTGTTTTGTATTTGTTTAATGCACCACTCTGCAGTAAATGACTAACAGTCTGGATGTGATGACTCACACATCCATATCATGCATACATGGCTGGGGAACAGTCCAAACACAGAATTTCCACTGACTCACTGATATTTTGTGCAAATGCAATCAATGTTGAGTGAGTGAGTTTAGTAAACACTGCTTTTAGTAACATACCAGAAATGGGCTTCACATTGTACCTATGAGGGGAAACAAACCTAGGTCATCCTCATGACGAGCAAACCCTTTAACCACTAAGCTACCCCATCACCCCTCAATGTTAATGTCTCAGTGGTTCAAGTCTCCTGTCATCTGCAATATGCTTATGCCCACTACTAGAAACATGTTGCATCCAGTCCATACTTGATGTCCCCATTGTTTTCAGTATTTTACTGACTGACTGACTAACTGTGTATACCTTTACCCCACTTTTAGCAATATTCTAGCAATATCACGGCGGGGGACACCAGAAATGAGCTTCACACATTATGCCCATGTGTGCAATCAAACCCGGGCTTCAGCGTGCCGAGTGAACGCTTTAACCACTAGGCTACCCCACCTCTCCCTCAGTATTTTAACAAACAAACCAATTATAAATGTAAAGCCAATTTATTCAATCTAACTACCAGTTTAGTTCTCAGTGTTTTGTAAATGTGGGAACATCTTCAGCAACTTCTTCCTCTGAAACCTCTTCCTCCGCAGCTCATTCATCTGCTTCCTCTTCATCTTTTCTTTGTACAACATGAGGTACAGCCCCATTGACTTCCTGTATGGAGGATACAACAAGCGATATGTGGGGTTAAGTTCTTTCGGCATCGGGTGTTCACGGAATTTTTTGAACCCTCTCAGTCCGAAAAAGTTACGAACATAGTCGCCAGTTGGGGATCCTGTTGTCCCCGTTTCTAGTAGATTGAAAGCTTCGTTCCTCTCCTTCACAACAGACAGCAAATTCTCCATGCTTTCATCAACCTGTCAAGTGAAAATGAGAGATAGTATAATATTCATTGTATACATTTTGTATTACATTGAGTGAGGTGCGTTTAATGGTTTGAGGTTAATTTGGGTTTAACGTCGTACTTAAGAATATTTCGCTCATATGACGACGTGCATGCGTGTGTATGTGTATGTGCAGCTGCTTGTACTAGCCCAGACTTAACCTTGTTTTATAGTGCTAGCCCACTGAGATACCATGCTGCAGTGAAGCATGAATACCCCACTCAGACACATTAAACTGACTCCGAGCCGACCAGTCCTTGTTGTACCCATTAATGCCAAGCGCCAGGCAGGGACCAACAAGTACCATATTTTAACGTCTTTTGGTGTGAGGCGGTCAGGGATCCAACCCATGACCAGACTGACGCTCTGACAACTACACCACAGAGGCGATTTAATATTTTGAACAGGATTCCAGATACATCACAACATCACATCCAAATTGGGAGAACAGTGCAAATTCATGCAGGTTTCCTATTTTTACCACTTCGGTGAATACCATGGATTGGTTTGTTGTTTAACGCCACACTCTGCAATATATGGCGGCAGTCTGTAAAATAATTGAGTCTGATCCAGACCATCAAGTGATCAACAATATGAGCATCGATCTACGCAATTGGGTTACGATGATGTGTATCAAACAAATCAGCGAGCCTGACCACCTGGGACCCGTTCCTCAAAGCAATGTGTATTCACGACAGTTGTAAGTCTATGTTAAAGTATGGGACCTGATCATCTTGATCGCTTTGAAGAAGTCACCCTTATGACAAGCATATGACAAGCATGGGTTACTACCAATTCTAAACCAGATCTTCACGGGTAGAATACCATGGGTATGGTTCTGACAAACACAATCAGGATAACCTGAATTATAACCCACAGTAATAGGTTTCTGGTGTGCTCAAGGGAAGTAACTCTGGACAGTGAACTGTGGCACTGGTCAAGCCATGTTCCCATTCACATAAGAAAGGAACATATTTCACTGGTCAAATGTTTGTTGTTTAACGCCACAATAAGGAAGTTTTAAGCTCTAAGGCATCAGTCTGTAAATAATCAGGTATAGACCATACAATCCAGTGATTAACATAATGAGTATCTATCTAGATAAGGATAACATGCCTCAACCAAGTCAGTGAGTCTGACCACTTGATCCCATTAGCCGTCTCTTAGGACAAGCATGGATTGCTGAAGACCAGTTCTAACCTGAATCTTTACTGGTCAAATGTTGAAAGCACAGTTCCTGAATTACCACAGAAAAATTGTTAGATGACGGTTTCCAGGTCAGGAATTTGTCAGATCAAGTGTCACAGGTGATTTGTACATATTTTACAGTGAGTGAGTTGGGTTTTATGCTTCTTTTAGCAATATTCCATGAATATCACGGCAGGGGACACCAGAAATGGGCTTCACACATTGTGCCCATGTGGGGAATCGAACCCGGGCCTTCAGCATGATGAGCGAATGCTTTAACCACTAGGCTACCACACTGCCCTACATATTTTACAAGCTGCATGAGCTTGTCGCCCATGCGATGAGTGTACATAAGGTCCAACTTGTAAATTCTCAAAACTCCAGCAAACGACATTTATTGGTTAAATATATCATCACAAGTTTACAAGCTACAAAGATGTATTTTGCTGTGTGCTGATGTATTTAACACTGCATTCAATAACAATCCAGCTATACGATGGCAGTCAAGAAAACACAATCCACTGACGGACAGGTGTCTATTAATAATCGAGACAACAAGTGTTTGCCACTAACATGGCAATGTCCCCCGCCGCTAAAGAAGAATGAAATATAACATATTTGCTAGTTTGTATCTTTTGGTCACATAGAAGATTACCTTTTGGGTGATGGAGTTTTTAGTCATGGTCACTTCTCAGAATGTTCTCCTAACTCTGAAGATATTCCAGGAATATACAGATGTAGTAGACCTGAATACTATTATGTAGATGCAGATGCACATATCCACTGTCAGTATCAGTGTGTATTAGAGCTGGACGGGACCAAACTTTCTATCCCAGGCACCCCACCCCCTATTACTCTACCCTACCCTGTTACCCATTATGTTAATTCCTGAAATCAAATTGGTAAGAAAAGGCAATATATTCTTCAGCTCGGAGGCTAAAATGTGGTGCAACATTTTATGAGATATCGCGTTTACATAAGTTTGAAAAGTGGTCCAAGTGTCGTGGTGATCTTGAAAATAAGGTCATAGTCACCAAAATTGACTGGTGTCTGTGTAATCCCCCAATGTAGGCTATCACCAAATTTGAAGACATTGGGTACAACAGTGCTTGAGATATTGCATTTACAAGAGTTTGAAAAGTGGTCGAAATGTCGTGGTGACCTTGAAGATAACCCACCTTATCGATCCTCTCTGGGTTCGGAAGCAGGGCACACAGCCTCTTGTATTCAGCCTCCATCGTGAGCAGCATGTTCCTCTCCTTCAGCAACACGTACCACAGTTTGTGGAGGTCATCGTTACTCTTGATTCGCAGCTCATCCTTCTTCCAAGGTCGACCTACAGAAGAGTGAGTGAGTGAGTTGGGTTTAACACCAATTCCAACCACTGGCCCTCATGTCTTTGCGAGGATTAAAGATTTAAAAAATATATAAAAAATTTGAGATGACCCCCAACTCGAAATGCTTCACAGTACGATGACAATGCCAGTGACTTTGGTGTACCTGACCCTTCTGCTTTGCCGATCACTAAGCTACCACTGCATGCAATCGCTTCGACCAAACCCCGTTTTGTGCGGACATATCGTCATCCATTTGTGACTAGATCGTTTAGCTGAGGGACAAAATCGGGTTTAAATGACTTGCAGAAATAACAATAGACATTTGATAGGTGTCTTGAGTGGTGATTGATAGGCCAATCATCCATGATTATGTTTACATTACGTTTTAATCGATTTCATGCGATGGTAACATAGCTATCGGCAAAGCAGGCGGGTGGAGTGCACCGAAGTGTCCGTCTTTGTCATGATGAATCGTACTGTGAAGCAATTCGAGTCGAGGGTCATGTCAAAAACAATATTCCAGTTATATCACTGCCTGTCAGCTTAATGTGGGAGAAAAGACATTTACCTCAGGCGTCAGACATTTTCCACTTTTTGTGCAAACCCATTAGGCATGGTGCTGACACACAAAGAAATGTTCCACAAAATAAACCTAGTATAACAGTTTTCTTAAATAACTGAGCTCCTAAACATAATTACCCTGCTATACCCGTGAAGGTCTGGGTTAGAATTGATCTTCAATAACCCATGCTTGTCGTAAGAGGCGACTAACGGGTTCGGGTGGTCAGGCTCGCTGACTTGGTTGACACATGTCGTCGGTTCCTAATTGTGCAGATCGATACTCATGCTGTTGATCACTGGATTGTCTGGTCCAGATTCGATTATTTATAGACCACTGCCACATGGCTGGAATATTGCTGGAATATTGCTGAGTGCGACGTAAAAAAAACCTCACTCTCTCTGCTACATTTGGAACTTCTTACCAACTTTGACTTTTTCTTCTGCCCAGTGTTTTCTTTCATCAAGAAATTCAGACAGATCTTGACGACGTATACTTGTGTGAAAGCCTGCTAGTTGTGTCGGCTGGCTGAATCTGTAACAGAAATAACACCACAACTGTAGTACTGTTTCCTGTTTGATAATTGAGAGAGTGAGTGAATTTGTATGAATGCTGCTTATGTCATGCCATTTGATACTCCTAGGTACATACTTAGGTTGAACTGGGATTGAAATACAAGATCAATGCCTTCCTGCATGCACAGTGTGCAAAATTTACACTGGTCCTGTGGTCCCTGGCAAATAAAAATTCATCAGGACCATTAAATGATTAGTTCGCAGTGGTCCTGGTGGCCAGTGAATTTTGTATTGATGGTTAAGTAAATCTACGAATGTTATTTTGGACCAGTGAAGTACAGACAGGACCACCAATTATTGCCTACTCACTGGTCCTGTGGTCTAGTGGGAAGTTTTGAAAGGTTTCTTTCCCTGCATGCACAAGGGATCCAAATCCACACAAATAATTGAGTATACAATCAGGCCACTCGTGACGCATTGAGCTAAAAAGATTGAGTAATGGCCATAGCTAGCTTTTTTAGATATTGCTTTTGAAAATCAGAATTGAACTTCTTTAAAAACATGGGCTGCCTTCAGTGTGGGGAACAAGCAAGTGAAGTTTTAGTTTCAGTGCTTTTCAGTGAACAAGTGAATGCATATGGTTTTATCAGGTATGCCATCAATAGCAATGACACCTGAAAAGGACTTCATACATTGCACCCATGTGGGGAATCAAACTCGGATCTTCGGCGTTATGAGCCAACGCATTAACCACCAGGCTACCCCACTGCCCCTCATGCAAGTGAAGTTAAGTTTCATTGGTTCAGTACTTTTCAGTGAGCAAGTGAGTGTGTATGGTTTTTAGTGGTGGTCCGATTAATTGAAATAATCGAAGATTGGTCGCAGTGACTAAACGACCAAGCAATCGATCATGTTTTCTCATAGTTGAACACAAACAATTCTGGAACACTTGTTTTCATTAACAGTATTTTTCACTAGGTTGGTTTTGTCTGTTATATTTCATAAGCTCTACAAGCTTGTGATTGAATTTATCTTAAAGACTCTAAGAAATTTATGTTCCTAACATACCAGTCATCCTTTAAAGACGTGAAATTTTGCAACAAAAACCCCTAAAGAACTACATGTTTTTTTCCTTATTTTTGTGCATTAACAAATTTCATAAATGACGCTAACCAATTGTTTTCGATGATTGATCGGTTGTAATGAACCAATCATCAATTATGAGATTTAATCAATTCCCAACACTAATGGTTTTATCGGGTATTCCATCAGTAGCATTATAATAACACCTGAAAACGGCTTCATACATTGCACCCATACATAGCATTTGTAAAGGTGGATTGTAAAAATAAGGTTTGAAAAATGGGAGGAACAAGAAAGACGTTTTAGCTTCACCGAGTGAGTTTGGTTTTAAGCTGCTCCTTGCAATATTCCTCCATTATCACTGGAACAGGCTTCACACTCAGTACCCATATGGGGAATCGAACCTGAGTATTCACTGTCATGATCAAGGGGCTATCACAATGTTTATGCCAGTATATGGAATAAGGCCCGTCCGACCGCCAGAGACGGGCTAGGTTTCTGCCGGACGGTCTAATTTTACAGATAACCAGCCCAATGGACGGGTGAAAAAAAATAATTCAGATAACAGGTCAATTGGCACTGTCTATTTAGTATTAAAGAAGGACTGGTTAAATCTCTTCTGGGCTGGTAAGTTTTTGAAGTTACCAGCACAGATGTCTGGCTGGGTTTTGGGCTTATTTCATACACTGGTTATGCCTGAGTACCAGGCCAGAGACTGAAACTTGGAGTACCTGCGTACAATGCCCAATTCAGCTGCACTGATCATGGGATCATGGTAAAGGTATGATACACTTCTAACAAAACTACTGGACAATTTGCTGAAACTGTTGTCATTCGAGCCAATTCAATTCTATTTCCTGAGACTGTTGGCATTGTTGCTAATTCATAACAACATTGAGATACTAGTATCTGAATGCAATTCTAATCTTAGTCTCTAAAACAACACGACAACCTATATTTCGCTTGTGTTTCGAAAAGATTTCGTCCAAGATTTCCCCATAGTGGCCTCTATTCATTTCTTTAGTCGATTTCCTGATAAATGTTTTATCAAATGAAATCAATCGGTTAAAAATGCCAACTGGTGCAAATGATTCCTCACTGATTATGAATATGAACAGGAACCTGTTGTTTTAGCCAGCACGCAACATACTTGTCAAGACACACGCACCTGTTACATTTACATGTGAGAGATGACTGCAGCAAAAGCTTTGTATTTGATTCAACATTGATCAACAGCGGCTGGAGCCTGACCGATAATATTCTTAAAACTGAAGACATGTTCTTCAGCAGTGCCATGGTTTTCATGTACGGGTAAATTCCGCTTTCATTCGCCTACAAATCTGTTCATATTTTAAGATATAAAGGGGCGCAACTGTCGCGGAACATGTCATTCATGGCTTTTGTACTACTCCTCGGCAGGGTATGTTCAATGCATCTCCTGCATGTTCTTCACAAAATACCACTGTAAAGAGTACCATGAAGGTCAAGCTTAATGTACTATCTGTGTAACGCTTATATTATATTAAAGGTACATGTACCGAACCTTTTTGTTTTTAAAAAGATATTTCAATGACAAAAAGTTTTGAAATACAAATTCAAGATAGCACATACACGTATATTGTTTTGTAATAAGGTTTTGCATTATTTTATAGAATACATCAAGTAAAAGACATACATATTTTATTAGTTTTGAGGGCATTAGTACGTATGCACCACATGTGTTTCAGCCATTTTCACCGAGTGAGTTAGTTCACATCGGAAAATAAGGGAAAATGGACCCGAAAAAGCTTGGGGATCTGATGGGGAGGTTAAGGTCAGGTGGAAAGGGAGCTGGAACAGGAATTGGTTTGCTGGCAGCTGCAGGTGGCATTGCATACGGCATCGCTCAATCACTTTACACAGGCGAGTTACCTTGACCGCTGCGGTTCAGAACCGACCTCTTGCAGTTCAATTTTTAATTTTGGAGAAGTGTTTGATTTGATTTTTGTTGGTGTCCGGGGGTCTATTGCCGGCTTTTAAACACGTGAAGCTATGGAGTTGTTTGACACGTGTTGTAATGGCAGTGGAAAGGTTTAAAAACGTGTGAAATATTAGATGATGCAGTGTTACATCATTCAACTTTCAAGTCGATTTCAATCTAGAAAAGATGTCATAGCATAATGGTGGAATTCATGTAAATTACGCGAAAAGTAGCAGAATAGTTAGGTGTTAAAAGTTATATCTTCAATGACTTCATTAGCCGTGAAGAACCATTGGCAGTGACAACTTTAGCGAAGATACATAGTGCATCTTTGTACATCTTAATTGATGTGTGACTGGATGACTAGGAGATGTAACAAGAACCAGATTCTCCATTGTCAACGATGGACCCCCGACATTCTAATGCAATTTTTCTTGAACATTACCACGTAATACTACTCTTATTTGTAACCTTGTTAGTGTACAAAAATCCATCTAATGCTATTTTAACTCCTCCCGTATCACTCTTCAGTACTTCCATTTTGGAACACTGATAAAAACTGTCATGATTACAGACACATTTATACAATTTATCAATGCAGCCAGTGGCCTCTGTTACGAAAACATGCTAATCGACTTGCTACATATAACTGGTGAAAAAGGGTAGCGATAACATATAAAAATGGGATTTTATCCAATGTTGGTCATTTTGGTGTGGGATTTTGTCCAAAGAAATTTTGTCCTATGTGTCTGGGTAGGATTTTGTCCGTCCCCCCACTCACATGTGTGCGAGTGCTATGTATCTTAGTTAAAGTTGTCTGTGTATGTGAGCGCTATGTATCTTTGCTATGAAAATTTCAGCTTGCACCCAACATATTCAAGTTACCAGAAATGATAATGAAAAAGGTGGAAGTCACAAACTGCTTGGTGATCCCTGCTTATAACATCTTTTATCAGGCATTTTTTTGGGGGGGAAATAATGAAGTTTCATCCCATATTTGATTGACTTGAAAAAGTCATTCATTTCCTTCCCTTGTAAATGGAGATGGTATCATCCATACGATGTGTCCATCGTGACACCTGCGGTATTATTGTCTGATTGAGAAGTTATTGAATAAGAAAGTCCTCCAGTCCAAGTGTTGATCACAAAATATGTTGTTTCCGTAAAGAACTCGGTTGCTTCTATCATGGCTATTGGTACTTGGCACTACAGCTTTGTCTTTTGTTTTTCTCCTTTAATACCCGTGTGTGTGTGCCTGCCTGCGTGTGGGTGGATTGGTTGCCTGGTCACGCCGAAGAGACCCCCGACATGGGTACAATGCCTTAACCCATTTCTGGTGTCCCCAACCATGATATTGCTGCAATATTGCTAAAAGCAGCTTTAAACCATGTCAGTGTTAAACCATAGTCATTCACTCACCCTAATATCCCAAAATTAATGGTAAAGTAAAGTAACTGTTCAGAACATTTTCAATTTGTATTGTGACCATGACATGTTTGCTTTCATTAAATTGGTGTATATTTTGAATGTTATAGTTGAGGGAGGTCACCGAGCTATCATCTTCAGCAGAATTGGCGGAGTACAGGATGACATTTACCCAGAGGGTCTACACTTCAGGTACGCATAATTGTTGATATCGTAGGGATTTACCCAAGTTAATTGACATGAACATTTTGCATATAGGTATTCATTCACAGCAAACTTAACAGAGATCATGCTAAACCACAATCATAAGATCAGATCAAGATCTGAGAAGAACTGTATAGTAAATTAGAAGATTGTGTTCAGTGAGCTCGACCACCAAATATAAATATGTTGATTCTTGAGATATTCAGATGTCAGCTTTCTGAAATGTTTGGATACGATTTCTTTGTTTACCATGTAGATTTTGAAAATTAAGATCTTGGCCAAAGACAACAATTTTGGTTTGATATTCAGCTGTTTTAGGTGTTGAGTTTTATTCCCAAATTGAAACTCAAATGTTACAAAGAATCTGTAAAAGAACTAGGTGTGACTTATCCTCCTTTTAGTAACCAAATAAACTGTTTTTGCCTCTCTCAAACTCAATGGGGTATTTTCCATTAATTTAAAAAATATAATAAAGTTTAAATGTTAGTGTTTGTTATTTATATTTGATCTGTACTATGAGAAACGATAAGAAAACTGCAAGTTATCAAGTTCATGTCCTGAAATAGAACCCCTCAATATACCTCAGTTATTTATCTATCCACAGATATGCAAGCTAAGATTTGACATTTTTGTTTGTACGCATTTAAGATCGTGATTTATTGAGTATTTACAAAAATTCAAGCATACTTGTACGCAACAGATTTAATAGGAATTGAGTTTGAGCTTATCTATACCTCTGTTCTTTTTTCAGGGTGCCCTGGTTTCAGTATCCCATTATCTATGACATTCGTTCACGACCAAGAAAAATAACATCACCCACAGGCAGCAAAGGTTAGTAACCATGGTAACAGTTGAAGGAAGGGAAAATATTTTGCATTTTATTTCATCTGTTGTGAAGAAGGTAATGTTTTGGTCCATTTATATTTGTCTTGTTTGTCTTGAACTATAAAATGTTTTGCTATATTTCTACATGTGTGTTGCCATGGCAATTAGTTCATCCTTCATTGCAAAATTACGTGGACATTGCTACAGTACTTAGTTGCTCGTGGATAATATATAGATTAATCTGTTATGACCATGTCATATCATTGATCAGGAGTCTTGAAACAAAATTCTTGGTTCAATGGTTGTTTGGCAATTGACTCATGGGTAAGGTGCCTCTGCTAATGATAAATTCCATGACCATGTCATGCTTTAAGAGACGATGGGTAACCTAGTGGGTAAAGCAGTCGATTCACGCAGAAGACCTGGGTTCGATTCCCCGCATGGGTCAAATATGTGAAGCCCATTTCTGGTGTCCCCGCCACGATATTGTTACAATATTGCTAAGAGCGGCTTAAACCATATTCACTCGTACCTTCAGACATTAAATGATCATTTGTTGCACTGTCTGATGTTTGTCATAAAAGGAATAGCGGGGTATTTAGTGGTTAATGTGTGAAGACCCGGGGTTCGATTCCACATCTGGTGTCCATTTCTGGTGTCCCCTGCCGTGATATTGCTGGAATATTGCTCAAAACGGCGTAAAAGTAAACTCACTCAATCACTCATAAAAGGAATAAAATACCAACTGGTTGGCTTGTCAGTGGCTGAATGGTGCATGTATGTTGAATTATGCCATCTTATCTCAGTGGACAAGCAATGGAAAACATCAATCATCCTTTTGATTACTAGCAGACATGCACCTGTATCTTGAATGCATTGTTGAAGCCCATTTCTCTTTACCCGGTATATCTTCAGTAAACCTGTGAACCCTGAGCATAAAACATTTCTCTTCCCTGTATATTCAGGCTGCTGCTGTCTTCCTGTGTTCATCGACCCCTGAAGATCCGGGGTAGAATAGGTCTTCAGCAACCCATGCTTGCCACAAAAGGCGACTATGCTTGTCGTAAGAGGCGACTAACGGGATCGGGCATCAGGCCCGCTGACTTGGTTGACACATGTCATCGGTTCCCAATTGCGCAGATCGATGCTCATGCTGTTGATCACTGGATTGTCTGGTCCAGACTAGATTATTTGACTGCTGCCATATAGCTGGAATTTTGCTGAGTGCGGCGTAACACTAAACTCACTCACTCCTGTATTCATCCTTTTAATTTCTATACATCTCATTTTCAGATTTACAAATGGTCAATATATCTTTGAGAGTATTGTCTCGCCCAGATCAGAAAGATTTGCCCTACATTTACAGACAGCTAGGATTAGATTTTGATGAGAGAGTGCTGCCTTCAATATGCAATGAGGTAAGTACACAAGTAATAAGATCAAAGTCACCATGGCTGGAAAGGAACTGACCATCAAACATAGTGACCCTTACCCTAAAATCAAATGTGCTTATGCAGTGGCCTTTTTGTCTGATCCACTTGCATTATGTTCTGCCAGGAGAGGCTTCTTTTGTTATAAATTATGTTTTTGTTTCGTAAGTTCGATTCCCCAGATGGGCACAATGTGTGGAGCTCATTTCTGGTGTCCCCTGCCGTGATATTGCTGGAATATTGCTAAAAGCGGCGCAAAACTAAACTCACTCCTTTCATAAGTAAGGGGTTGGTTGCCATGTTTGTTGTATTTTGTTGGTACTATATGTGTTTATCCTTTGACAATAAACAGTACAGATGTCTTCACTGGTTTGTGTCTCACCCTGGCACTCGGTGAACATCTCAGAAACAACTACGCAAACAGGACTGAAGCTTCAGGGCAACCCTTTTTTGAAACTCCTTTTGGCTATTTTCGTTCAAAATGTTACAAGATTTGGCATTTGTTTAGAATTTCTTCACTTATTTTCTGGATTCATGCAGTATTTAAACTGTGAACAATTTACCATGTGCTCTTCAATTATCTGAAAAATACCTACTTTGCACTGTATACGTCTTCCATGATATTGGACTAAGATCTCACCTTTGGCTTGTATTCTTTTCCTAATAGGATGTTTTCGTCAAATCATTAGTTTAATGTTAGTTTTTAGGTGAGATTAATTACAGAGAAGCATTTTGATTGTTTGTGCTGACAGCATGCACATTCTCTTCCTCTGTCCTGACTGGTATTGGGGTTAAAAGGAGCCTGTTATATGATGATTTTTGTTACACTCTTTCCAGGTGTTAAAGAGTGTAGTAGCCAAGTTCAATGCATCTCAGCTTATTACCCAGCGTCAGCAGGTCAGTTTGTTGATCAGGAAGGAGTTGACACAGAGAGCAAGGGACTTCAACCTGATCCTAGATGACGTGTCAATCACTGAACTCAGCTTTAGTCGGGAGTACACCGCAGCTGTGGAGGCTAAACAGGTACGTGCGAAGATCCTGTACAGATTCCCATTCCCTTCCTTGGGGGTTTGGAACAGGAATTGGTTTGCTGGCAGCTGCAGGTGGCATTGCTTACGGCATCGCTCAATCACTTTACACAGGCGAGTTACCTTGACCGCTGCGGTTCAGAACCGACCTCTTGCAGTTTAATTTTTATTTTTGGAGAAGTGTTTCCTTTGATTTTCGTTGGTGTCCGGGGGTCTATTCCCGGCTTTTAAACACGTGAAGCAATGGAGTTGTTTGACACGTGTTGTAATGGCAGTGGAAAGGTTTGAAAATGTGTGAAATATTAGATGATGCAGTGTTACATCATTCAACTTTCAAGTCATTGCAATCTAGAAAAGATGTCCTAGGATAATGGTGGAATTCATGTACATTAACGCGAAAAGTAGCAGAATAGTTAGGTGTTAAAATATCTTCTATGACTTCATTAGCCATGAAGAACCATTAGCAGTGAGAACTTTAGCGAAGATACATAGTGGCTTAGTGCATCTTTGTACATCTTAATTGATGTGTGACTGGATGACTAGGAGATGTAACTAGAACCAGATTCTCCATTGTCAACGATGGACCCCCCCGACATTCTAATGCAATTTTTCTTGAACATTCCCACGTAATACTACTCTTATTCGTAACTTTGTTAGTGTACAATAATCCATCTAATGCTATTTTAACTCCTCCCTTATCACTCTTCAGTACTTCCATTTTGGAACACTAATAAAAACTCATGATTACAGACACATTTATACAATTTATCAATGCAGCCACTGGCCTCTGTTAGGAAAACATGCTAATCGACTTGCTACATATAACTGGTGAAAAAGGGTAGCAATAACATATAAAAATGGGATTTTGTCCAGTGTTGGTCATTTTGGTGTGGGATTTTGTCCAAAGAAATTTTGTCCTATGGGATTGTCTGGGTAGGATTTTGTCTGTCCCCCCACTCGTATGTATGTGGGCGTTATGTATCTCAAAGTTGTCTCTGTATGTGAGTGCTATGTATCTTTGCTATGAAAATTTCAGCTTTCACCCAACATATTCAAGTTACCAGAAATGATAATGAAAAAGGTGGAAGCCTTTTGGAAGTCACAAACTGCTTGGTGATCCCTGCTTATAACATCTTTTAACAGGCATTTTATTTTTTTGTGGGGAAGGGAAATAATGAAATTTCATCCCATATTTGATTGACTTGAAAAGGTCATTCATTTCCTTCCCTTGTAAATGGAAATGGTATCATCCATACGATGTGTCCATCGTGACACCTGTGATTGAGAAGTTATTGAATAAGAATAGGGTTCGAAATACCCTATATGTTAGCGGGCCATGGCACGGTAAATATTGAAATGGCACGGTAAATATTGAAATGGCACGGATAAAAAAAGGCCTTGGTGCCCTTAAGGTACGCCTAAAGTTTTAGAGACATAACTCACCTCTAGTCATTTAATCCGCAAAACATTTACGCAAATGACAGAGTGATGGGAGTACTGATAGTTCAGTTATAGAAGAGATAATTGTGTATGTCAGATATATTGAACAAGTGAACCTGTCAAAAAATTCTTAGCTATTGAAGGTGTTGGGAAAGTAGACAAATGAAGTTTAAGAAAGCCATCTTAAGCAAAAGACTTATCAGTTATAACAGAAAACAGGTTCAAATGATCATCATCATTGCTACAGTCATTTATTCTGAAACACGTGCCACAGTTGGCACACTTGATTTCGGAAAGGCACATTTAAAGTCTTTGCCTGGTGCCCTTAGGCACACTCAGAAAAAAAAGTATTTCTATCCCTGAAGAAAGTCCTCCAGTCCAAGTGTTGATCACAAAATATGTTGTTTCCGTAAACTCAGTTGCTTCTACCATGGCTATTGGTACTTGGCACTACAGCTTTGTCTTTTGTTTTTTTCCTTTAATACCTGTGTGTGCCTGCCTGCGTGCGTGTGTGTGGATTGTCTTGTCATGCCGAAGACCTCGGACATGGGTATAATGTCTTAACCCATTTCTGGTGTCCCCAACCATGATATTGCTGCAATATTGCCAAAAGCAGCTTTAAACCATAGCCATTTACTCACCCTAATATCCCAAAATTAATGGTAAAGTAAAGTAACTGTTCAGAACATTTTCAATTTGCATTGTGACCATGACATGTTTGCTTTCATTAAATTGGTGTATATTTTGAATGTTTTAGTTGAGGGAGGTCACCGAGCTATCATCTTCAGCAGAATTGGTGGAGTACAGGATGACATTTACCCAGAGGGTCTACACTTCAGGTACACAGAATTGTTGAAATCGTAGGGATTTACCCAAGTTAATTGACATGAAACATTTTGCAAATAGGTATTCATTCACAGCAAACTTAACAGAGATCATGCTAAACCACAATCTTAAGATCAGATCAAGATCTGAGAAGAACTTTATAGTAAATTAGAAAATTGTGTTCAGTGAGCTTGACCACCAAATATAAATGTGTTGATTCTTGAGATATTCAGATGTCAGCTTTCTGAAATGTTTGGATATGATTTCTTTGTTTACCATGTAGATTTTGGAAATTAAGGTCTTGGCCAAAGACAACAACTTTGGTTTGATATTCAGCTGTTTTAGGTGTTGCGTTTTATTCCTAAATTGAAACTCAATTTTACTAAGAATCTGTAAAAGAACTAGGTGTGACTTATCCTCCTTTTTAGTAACCAAGTAAACTGTACTCGCCTCACTCAAACTCAATGGGGTATTTTTCCATTAATTTTAAAAATATAGTAAAGATTAAATGTTAGTGTTTGTTATTTATATTTGATCTGTACTATGAGAACGATAACAAAACTGCAAGTTAGCATGTTCATGTCCTGAAATAGAATCTTTCAATATACATGTACCTCAGTCATTTATCTATTCACAGATACGCAAGCTAAGATTTGACATTTTGTGTGTACGCATGTAAGATCGTATTTATTGAGTATTTACAAAAATTCAAGCATACTTGTACGCAACAGATTTAATAGGAATTGAGTTTGAGCTTATCTGTACCTCTGATGTTATTTCAGGGTGCCCTGGTTTCAGTATCCCATTATCTATGACATTCGTTCACGACCAAGAAAAATAACATCACCCACAGGCAGCAAAGGTTAGTACCCATGGTAACAGTTGAAGGAAGGGAAAATACTGTGTCTGAGTAGGGTATTCATGCTGAACTGTGGCATGTTATCGCAGTGCGCTAGCACTATAAAACCAGCTTTAGTCTGGGGTAGTACAAGCAGCTGCACATAAATACACGCATATGTGTCGTCATATGAGCGAAATATTCTCAAGCACGCGTTACACCCAATTTCACCTCACCTCACCTTAGTAGCTCTTGATAATATATAGATGGAAGTGGTTCCTGCATCTGTTATGATACGTTAATATCATTGATCAGGAGTCTTGAACAAAATTTCTTGGTTGTTTGGCAGTTGACTCACTGACCACTGTAAGGTACCACTGTAAGGTGCCTCTGCTAATGATTAATTCCATGACCATGTCATACTTTAAGAGAGACAATGGGTAGCCTAGTGGGTAAAGCAGTCGCTCGTCACGCAGAAGACCTTGGTTAGATTCCCTACATGGGTCAAATATGTGAAGCCCATTTCTGGTGTTCCCGCCACGTTATTGTTACAATATTGCTAAAAGAGGCTTAAACCATACTCACTCGTACCTTCAGACATTAAATGATGTCATTTGTTGCACTGTCTGATGTTTGTCATAAAAGGAATAGGGGCGGTGGGGTAGCCTAGTGGTTAAGGCGTTCGCACGTCGCGGCGAAGTCCCGGGTTCGATTCCCCACATGGGCACAATGTGTGAAGCCCTTTTCTGGTGTCCCCCTGCCGTGATATTGCTGGAATATTGCTCAAAACGGTGTAAAACTGAACTCACTCAAAAAAGGAATACAATACCAACTGGTTGGCTTGTCAGTGGTTGAATAGTGCATGTATGTTGAATTGTGCCATGGTATCTCAGTGGGCAAGCAATGGAAAACATCAATCATCCTTTAGATTACAAGCATTTTGAATGCATTGTTGAAGCCCATTTCTCTTCACCCGGTATCTCTTCAGTAAACCTGTGAACCCTGATCATAAAAGATTTCTCTTCCCTCTGTATGAACTGAGTGGCTGCTGCTGTCTTCCTGTGTTCATCGACCCGTGAAGATCCGGGGTAGAATAGGTCTTCAGCAACCCATTCTTGCCACAAAAGGCAACTATGCTTGTCGTAAGAGGTGACTAACGGGGAGCGGGCATCAGGCTCGTTGGCTTGGTTGACACATGTCATCGGTTCCCAATTGCGCAAGTCGATGCTTATGCTGTTGGTCAATTGGATTGTCTGGTCCAGACTCGATTATTTACAGACAGCCGCCATATAGCTGGAATATTGCTGAGTGCGGCGTAAAACTAAACTCACTCACTCACTCACTACAGACTGCTGTCATAGAGCTGGAATTTTGCCGAGTAAGGTGTAAAACTAAACTCGCTCATTAATTCATCCTTTTAATTTCTATACATCTCATTTTCAGATTTACAAATGGTCAATATATCTTTGAGAGTATTGTCTCGCCCAGATCAGAAAGATTTGCCCTACATTTACAGACAGCTAGGATTAGATTTCGATGAGAGAGTGCTGCCTTCAATATGCAATGAGGTCAGTACACAAGTAATCAGATCAAAGTCACCATGGCTGAAAAGGAACTGACCAATCAAATATAGTGACCCTTACCCTAAAATCTAATGTGCTTATGCAGTGGCCTTTTTGTCTGATCTGCTTACATTATGTTCTGCCAGGAGGCTTCTTTGTTATAAATTGTTTTCGCTTCGTAAGTTCGATTGCCCAGATGGGCACAATGTGTGAAGCTCATTTCTGGTGTCCCCTGCCGTGATATTGCTGGAATGTTGCTAAAAGCGGCGTAAAACTAAACTCACTGATTCTTTTCATAAGTTAAAAAAAATAAAAAAATAAACAGTACAGATGTCTTCATTGGTTTGTGTCTCACTCGGCACTCCATGAACATCTCAGAAACAACTACGCAAACAGGACTGAAGCTTCAGGGCAACCATTTTGGAAGCTCCTTTTGGCTATTTTTGTTCAAAATATTACAAGATTTGGTATTTGTTTAGAATTTCTTCACACTTATTTTCTGGATTCGTGCAGTATTTAAACTGAACAATTAACCATGTGCTCTTAAATTATCTGAAAAATACCTATTTTGCACTGTACACCTCTTCATGATATTGGACTAAGATCTCACCTTTGGCTTGTATTCTTTTCCTGATAGGATGTTTTCGTCCAATCATTAGTTTAATGTTAGATTTTAGGTGAGATTAATTACAGAGAAGCATTTTGATTGTTTGTGCTGACAGCCTGCACATTCTCTTCCTCTGTCCTGACTGTTAGTTGGGTTAAAAGGAACTTGTTATATGATGACTTTTGTTAATCTCTTTCCAGGTGTTAAAGAGTGTAGTAGCCAAGTTCAATGCATCTCAGCTTATTACCCAGCGTCAGCAGGTCAGTTTGTTGATCAGGAAGGAGTTGACACAGAGAGCAAGGGACTTCAACCTGATCCTAGATGACGTGTCAATCACTGAACTCAGCTTTAGTCGCGAGTACACCGCAGCTGTGGAGGCTAAACAGGTATGTGCGAAGACCCTGTACAGATTCCCATTCCCTTCCTCGGGGGTTCTGAGGCAGATTTGTTTGTTTATGCTGGGGCGGTGGATTAGCCAAGTGGTTAAAGTGTTCACTTGTCTTGGTGATGACCTGGGCTCGATTCCACACATGGGTACGATGGGTGAAGCCCATTTTGGGTGTCCTGTGCCGTTATATTGCTGGAACATTGCTAAAAGTGGTGTAAAACTAAATTTTAAAACTTATCCTATCTCACGACTTGCACCTCTCTTGCTTCGACTTTTAGTTAGTGGTGTTCCGATTAATTGAAATAATCGAGGATTGGTCGCAGCGACCAAAGCGACCAAGCAATTGATCACATTTTCTCATAATCGAACATAAACGATTTTTGAACTACTTTTTTTTAGTCTTTGAAATACTTGACAATGGAACATATCGTTGAAGTTGTCAGTGCCTGAAAACGTGTTGTTAAATTCATAGAAAACTCACTTCCCTAACTGAAAAGCCATGACTGAATATTTCTTGAAGACTCCAGGAAGTTTATGTTCATGATATATAAGTCATCACTTTAAAGTAGCAAGTTGCATCATGTTATACATATCTGCAATAACAACCTGGATAGGAAAATATGAAAAATGACGCTAACCAATTTTTTTCGATGATTGTTAGTTGGTATTGAAGCAATCATCAATTGTGAGTTTCAGCAGAAAAAGGTCGGGAACTCATGTTAAGGAAATATACAATTTATATTAAAATATCCAAACTCACTCACTGTATGATGCTGCTCTCAGCAATATTCCACCTATATGGTGGCGTTCTATAGATAATTGAGTCTGGGACAGACAATATAGTGATCAACAGCATGAGCATCGATCTACGCAATTTGACTATGCAGTTGGGATTCGATGACATGTCAACCAAGTCAGTGAGCCAGATCATCCGCCTCTTACAACAAGCATGGGTTGCTGAAGGACAATTCTAAACTGCATCAAGGTTATGAGGTAGAACATGTGGAAGGTTCTGGTTTGAGGGCAGAAAGGTGTCAGGTTCCATGGGGAATCAAGGGCGGTGTCATCTTAAACTGCTGGCTGGTATCTTGTTGGACTGTAGTACCAGGACATTGTTGTGTTGGGAATCAGAAAACAAATCCACTATCGATTATTGGAGGATTGTGGTGAACGATTATCGATTACAATCGAAATATATACATTTTTAATGTAATCACCAATTTTATAGGGTTTTCCCCAGTTTTTTCTAATTAATGTTTTTTTTTTATAACTAATGCTGTCATGCAATGAAATGCACGCATGCAAGAAAGACACTGGAATTGTAATTAAACAATAAAAGTGGTTAAAATTTTACAATGTGCATAGCTTTATGCTGTTGAGCGCATGTTTGTTTGTGAATATTCGTCAAATTTAATGGTTAGTTTACTTCATTCAAGGGTGTTATACAAAAACAACAAAATTCCGATTAATGGAAAATATTTTTTACAATTGATGATAATTTTTAATCCTTCTTTCAATCGATTTTCGATTATTTTCGATCATCGGAACATCACTACACATTGCTATGTTGTATACTTGCCATGGGAGCTCAGAATGAAATCCATTGCATAATGTTCTTTTGACCGGGGTAATGATAGTAAAGTGCTTTATCTTGATTGGTGGTGTGGAAATAGAGCAATTTCGAGGACCTCAGTCTCACCTCTCACCTGTCACCTCTCATCTCACCGTACCTGAATCTGTTCACAGGTAGCCCAGCAAGAAGCTCAACGTGCTCAGTTCATAGTAGAGAAGGCCAAGCAGGAGAGACAGCAGAAGATTGTCCAATCAGAGGGAGAAGCTGAGGCAGCAAAACTGATATCCTTTGCAACTTGTAGCAGCAGTGTATAACAACCCATTGTATAATCTATCGTATACAACATGTTTACTGCAATGAGAGCTTTAGTTTACATAGTTGAAGGTAACTGGCTGTGTCACCACAGGAAGTATCCTGAACATAGCATTCCTTTGTTTTAGGTTAAGGTTCAGAAAAAGAATCTTATTGTTCAGTATGAAAACAATAGGGATTACAAAGAAAGGCACAAGGAAGACAGGAATTTCCATTTTACTAAGTGCAGGAAAATCAGGAAATATATTTTTGGTAAAACATGAGTTTTGATTTTATACAAAATGGCAAGTTTTGATTTATATAAAATGGCCAGTTTTGATTTATACAAAATGGCCAGTTTTAACTAGTAGGCTCAGATGTTGTAATAAAAGAAAACAAATGTATGCGTGACCTATTGGTCAGTACAGATGTTGTCTTAATGCTCAGTTTCCTCTGTCAAGTGATGATAATAAGGTGCAGTGGAGAAAGCTGTAGGTGTTGGCTCAAATTTTAAGTCAAACCAGAGTAAATATATTGTCTGTAATCTTGGGGCAATGCTTTGAGAACAAGCATGCCCTGTAAGGCCAGACATAGAGCTCTTGCCTGAATACCTCTCTGTGCTGAGATGTGGTACAAGAGACATGACAGGCACACAGGGTGGGGTTGGGGGGTGGGGACAGGGAAACCTACAGTTTTCTGTGACCAACATTTTTAGTAATCTGATGACAGAAGGATTTGGGTAAGTGTTTCGGACAACTTGAACTGTCCAGAATGCTAGACAACCTTTGCAACCTGTTAAAACTGATTCCAGCATTGTTCACATAAGATTGATGCTCATGCTTTGATCACTTGATTGTTTGGTCCAGAGAGGAAAAGTGCTTGAATTGAACTTTATTCAACCAAAAACTAAATTGATTTGCCATTAGTCAAAGTACTTGATAAGTGCAGCAAGTGCTGCTATTTCTAATTTTGTTTGTTCAAAATGCGTTGTCGGCAATATTCCCCACATTGGCACTATGGTGTCCCCGTGATATTGCTGGAATATTGTAAATGTAAAACTAAATCAATCAGTCTAATTTTGTTCAAGACCAGACAATTCCAGCTATCAACTGTAAACATAATCAAGTCTGGACCAGACTTCCAGTGATCAACAGAACTTGCTACTTTATGAGCATATAAGAATATAACTGACACATCATTCCATTCACTTTCAAACTATAACACACTGCGATCAGAGATGACAATACTATCCTTACAAATGACTTTAACATTTGATCCATGCAGTAAGAACTTAACGGAATGAGTTACCCCCCTTACATGAATAGAAACAAACCTTTCCTAATATGTACAATTGGGTACCAATTTTAGTGGAAAGGAAAACCTACTAATGTCTACATTTCTAGTTCTTGGTGACCTTCATTTATAAGCTTATTGTTAATCCTATTCAGCATTCAGATCATATCTGAAAACCTGTCTGTTCCAAAAAGCCTACCCGACATCAAATGTAATCAAATGAACCTATTTTCATCCTGTGACTTTGAATATTGGGTGCTTCGAGCAATCATTATGCGCGGAGAAATGCAAATGACAAATGGACTACTTATTTATTATTGTTCTCAATCTCACTTCCAATATTTTTAGCAGAGATTGCATTTCACATTGTCTGAAATCTTGGGGTGCTCTCGCTAGTATAGATACACCCTGTAAGGCCGGACATATATACAATTGCCATGGCACACTTCCCAGTCATTAAGAAGAGATTTGGGTGTATTTAGTGGCAGACATATATCATAGTGTTATATATTTTAGATTGTTTGGATCAATGTGTTACCTCCCTTGACTCCATTACATTGGTGCAGCTATTCAGTTGAATCCTGGTTATCTGAAGCTGAGGAAAATCCGAGCATCACAAAACATTGCCAGAACAGTGAGTGTTTCTCCTCGTGCCCATTGTTACATTATACCATTGTAATAGGGTTACATTATACCATCTGGGATATGTTACATTATACCAGTTACATTTTCTTGATCCAAGTACATATGTTGTTGCCTTGATCGGGTGGGTGAGGTGGGTTGGGCATTACCTGTCTGGGGTGGGATGGGTGTTTCCTTGATCAGGGGGTGGGTGGCATGTTTCCCTATTCTGGGGTGGGTGGGATGTTTTTGCCATCTGGGGAGTAGGGTGTTTCCTTGATCTGGGGGAGTAGGGTGTTTCCTTGATCTGGGGGGTGGGTGTTTCCTTGATCTGGGGGTGGGTGTTTCCTTGATCTGGGGATGGGTGTTTCCTTGATCTGGGGATGGGTGGGAGTGGGATGTTTTCCTAACCTGGGGGAAGGGTGTTTTCTTGATGTAGGAGTGGGGTGTTTCCTTGATCTGGGGGGGTGGGTGTTTCCTTGATCTGGGGGTAGGTGTTTCCTTGATCTGGGGTGGGTGTTTCCCTTGATCTGGGAGTAGGGTGTTTCCTTGATCTGGGGTGGGGTTTCCTTGATCTGGGGATGGGGTGTTTCCTTGATCTGGGGTGGGTGTTTCCTTGATCTGGGGATGAGTGGGATGTTTTCCTATCCTGGGGGAAGGGTGTTTCCTTGGTCAGAGGATATGTTAACTTTGTATCCCTGTTGGAGATATTCACTTAATATTTGTTGAAAGAATATCAACACTACTCAATAATTCCATTGTATTACTTGCTCATTGTTTCCACTTATTTTTCAACTTCGTTTCAGATTGCCTCCTCCACCAACCGTGTATACCTGAATGCAGGCTCGCTGATGATGAATATAACTGACCCCGAGTTCGACATTGCCGCTGATGCTGCTGCCAAAAAGAAGAAATGATGAAATAGCAATATAACTGTGATTGTTTGATGCAGAGTTATCTCCCTTGACATGTAGTTTTTAATGCCTACATTTTCATCATTACATTCTGTGATGATTTATTGTAATGATAAACAGGTAGAATTTCCAGAAAGATTAGAGCATTATGTCAAAATGTTTCTTCAGCGCCAGGATCCCATGTTTGTTTCCCTGGGATAGGAGCACTGTATGTTCATGTGATTCACAAAAGTATCTATACATTCTGGATACAGGTGGCCTAGTTGTCAAGGCAACGCAATTCACTGTGCAGAATTAAGTCCCTTTTGCACACGGGAAACCTACGATGATTGGTTGGTGTCGAGATTTACCCAGATTGTTTGTCAGAACCAGACTGGTTGGTTTTTCTGAAGCGGTCGATGTCTGGTACTGCCTCACCATGGACCGAGATAGACACTTTCTCACTTGACTCACTTCACTAACCTGTGTGACATAACTGGAAAACATTGTACGGTGCAATTTGCATCTCTTTTGATTTGTTTGTATTTCACGGAAGGTCAAATTTTGTTGGTTCTGATTTCACCATTCAGTTCATTTGCCATTTTCAGAGTTTTTAGATATCATCTATCTTTTCATTTCAAAATTCACAATTCATTTTGATATCTCCAAATACATCATACAATAACCTTTAGTAGTCAAGGTGGGGATAACTCGTGTGTGTGATCTGTTGTGTACCACTAGTGAGATGTTGCATTATTTTGTACATACAATTATATTCAGGATAACAACATATAGCAACTCTGTGTGAAAATATTAGATGGTGGATGTATCAGACTTGGCATTAGCTTCATTGTGAACGAGTCCGATCAGATTTTGTTAAGGATATAATCATGCAAAAATGTGCATGCTTGTTATACATAGTATATTAAAATATAAAGAGATGTTGACATTTCATCGTTTCACAATCAAGATGGATTCTATTCTTGTCAAAGTGAGAGCAAGACAATACATTGTTAGTGCTGTTTTTGACATATTTTACCAACATACAAATCAGTGCTTTGAAAAGTGCATTCTCAGTAAATGTATTCTTTTTAAATGTTAAATGATCAAAGGTAATAAATGAATATTCATGCTGCTGTTTTTCTGTGTTAAAATAATCAGGGCATTTGTAATGTACTGAATTCCGCACTAGGAAGGGGCATGCTCAAAGCGGAGAATAAGAATATTATTACTCCGGATAAACCAAGATGCCTGTGAGGCACTAGAAGATTAAGTCACATGACTTATCCCCCCGGGTACCCATGTTCTGTTGGGTGAACAGAGGGAAGTTTAAACAAACTCACTTTCCTAAGTTGAGACCACATGTGTCACATGTGATTCGTTGTGGGGCAGGAGTCAAGCTGCCAAACATGTCGTACATCAAAGACTCTCCGGGCCAACGTTGCTTAACTTCACCAGATTTGTGACCTGAGCTCTGTACAGGACCACGCACCACCACAACATTCAATAGACCATGATAAGGTATGTGCTTTTAAAAGAATGCCTGAATTGATTTGTCTGCTGGTTGAAAACATGACGAAAAGAACCCAGCATTAGTCAAAGATGAAGTTTTTATGGGTTAATCCACTGTTCCAGCTGCAAGAGGCCATGAGAGGATTGTCTCAAAGACACTCCAGTGTTAGATGTTCTGATCACTTATGCGATTGATAGTCAAGATGCGCTTAGTTGATTCATTAAGGTGGCCGGGCTTGCTGACTTGGTTCACATCGAGTAGATCGATGTTCATGCTTTTGTCACTGGTTTGTCAGGTCCAGACTTGGTTGTTTGCAGGTCCTGTCATCTGGCTGGTATGTTGCAAGATGCTGCGTTAAACAATTGCTAAAGATTGATGCTCATGTCAATCGTAGGATTGACTGATTGTTCACATAAAACCAGTATGTGGCAGAAATACTGCCCAGAAACGTTTAACAAACGAAAGGCTTACGTCTGTAAACAAGTAAATGTAATTTGTTAAAACAGTTTGTGTTAAAGCAATATCCCGTCTTCAGTGCACAATAAGCAGTGGGATGTATCTATTGAAGACACCGACTCGTGCTTGTTTAGTGGTTTGTTGGAGATCGTGGCTTTACTCTTAAAGAAGTTACCCCTATGAGCAGTCGAGAAGTTCGTGGGTAGATTCGTGGCGAGTCGCGCTGAAGAACCAGGTTCTATTCCACACGAGTACAAGATGTGAGGCCCATTGATGACGCACACGCACGCACACACACACACACACACACACACACACACACACACACACCGTCGTTATATTGCTGGCGTATTGCTAAAAGCGGTTTAAAACCAACTGGCTTATTTTGAGGAACCGAATTTGTAAAACTTCAGTTTCAGCAGAAAAAGGTCGGGTACTCGTGTTGAGGATTTCCCTTTTCTTTAAGGATTTCGGTAAGTTTGGGATGTACGTTATAGTTGGTGAGTTTGGTTTTACCCCGTTTTCAGCAATATTCCAGCAGCACCACGTCGGGGGACACCAGAAATTGGCTTCACACATTGTGCCGATGTGGGGAATCGAACTCAGGCCTTTGGCGTGTTTAGCGAACGCGTTAACCCTGGGCCACCCCACCGCCCCGATGCACGTTGTGATTTGTATTTGTGTGGCCTCGCAGTTCGCTTTGCAGAGTTTCTTTTTTTACCCCCACAAGATTCAGTTAAATAGCTAATCCATAATTAGCTGGGGTTAATCCATTCTATCAGATAGGGGAGTAAGGTGTATTTTCTTTGCTAATTACCTACTCCACTGTCTCACAACTGGGAGTCTCACAACTGGAAGTTCTCACAAATGGGAGTAGACCGTTACAAAGCGTGACTAGCGAACTCTTAAACCACTGGGCCACCCCACCGCCCAGATGCACGTAATTTGTTTTTTTTTATGTCAGTGAGTTAGTGAGTGTTTAGTTTTACGCCGCGTCTGATAAAATTACAACGTGCATAATGTCCCAGACATGCCAAATCCATAACTAAACACTACATTCTGAACATTTAATGCCCAACCATTTTATAAATGCTGAAAGTCTGTTACTCATATTTAGCAAGCTGGGAATATTCCAGCAACATCACGACAGGGACACCAGTAATGGGCTTGACTCGCACATTCCACCTACGTGTGGAATCGTATTTTATTAGAATTTAAAGGTCACGTGCAACGTAAAACACAACTTTGCAGATTCTGATACCTTTCGGTATGGACTTACCGAAACAAATCATCAAAAATGCAATTTCAACTTATAAAGTTGAAAAATAACGCGATGAAAAAAACCTCGCGAAACTTTCCCCCACCGCTTGTTGGAATTGAAGTGGTTTCAACAGCTGGGCTGCGCTCATAGCACATGCGCAGTGAAATAGGTTCGCGCAGCTTGGAAGCGGGTTGTCCGGTGAATACTCGGTGAAGGCTTCGGTGTGAGCTATTTTTCTAATGTTTTGTTGATATTTCACGGGCGCGGTAGATTACCTATTTAACTGTTTATATAATTTCATTTGTCTATTTCACCACACGTTCTTCTTACCGAGTCACTTTCTCAGTTCGATACTTAAAAGCAATGTCATTATTTAGAGTTGACACAATTTCTAACTGTGATATAGATATGTCGCTGTCACAGACAAAACTCAATGTCTTGTTTTATTGACACCTGTGTGTCTGCCTGCCTGTCTGCTAATGACAATATTCAATAACAGTCAGCGAGTCGGTGTACAGATCGCCATTCTGCAAAGTTCTATGTCTCAAATTAAGTTATTTGAAGAAGGAAGAAAACTCAATTCACCACGTAGACGAAGACTGTCTATTTGCATAATTTGCTACTTAGAAACACTTCTTTGATGTGCAATTTTATCAAAATTTAAGACATGCCATACTTCCAAAGTAGTACACAGCATTTCCAACTATCGAAATAGAGACATATCTTGTTATCGAGTACTTATCCAATGATTACACACACACACACACCACACACACAGAGGCTTGAAAATGAGATATGCATGTCTTTCTGAACAGAATTGATAATATTTGCATGCGATTAAAGAAATGTGATTTAATACCCATGACACTGACGTCCTGTTGCGAGTTGATTTACGTTTTTATCAAAACAGGGGATGTATTCAGTATTTATATATTTAATTACTGAATGAGGCAAACCTAATTTTACTTATAGTGGTGTTTTGTTCTACAGTTTGTGTACATTTGACTCGGCCGCGTCATACCAAAAGACGTTAAAATATGGTACTTGTTGGTCCCTGCCTCGAGCTCGGCATTAATGGGTACAAGAAGGACTGGTCGGCTCGGAGTCAGTATAATGTGTCTGAGTGGGGTATTCATGCTTCACTGCCGCATGGTAGCTCAGTGGGCTAGCACTATAAAACCAGCTTTAGTCTGGGCTAGTACAAGCAGCCACACATACACATACACACGCATGCACGTCGTCATATGAGCGAAATATTCTCAAGCACGACGTAACACCCAATTTCACCTCACCTCACCATGATGTGTCGCTCGTGGACCTGCGCCATGAAAAAATATACTTTGTGTCTCTCACCTGCCCCCCCGGAGTAAACGTTGTGTCGCTCATCTGCACCTTGAATTATAATATGTATCGATTATCGATTATTTTAGCACGAGTTATAGGGCCTAACAATCTTCAGTGCCATGTGAGTATGCCATAAGTGACACTTTCTGTCGACGATCTGCACTTGGAGATATACATTGTATCGAATATCTGCACCCTGAGGTACACTTTGTATCCGTCTTCTGTAACGTGAATTCAACGTTGTATCGACCATCAGCGACGTGAGTTGATAACAACGCATGTGCTATCTGTCCCGTGGGTTAAAAGTTCTTGAGACTATCTGCAACACTAAGTATACGTTGTATCGAATACCTGTACAACTTTTGTTTATCTCTACCGTGAGTTATATGTTGTATTCGCCATAGGGGTGACTATTGACGGGGAAACAACTATTGCGATAGCGATAGACGATTGCAACATGCTATTGCGATAGCGATAGTCTATTCCGACCAAGTATTGCAATACTATTGCAATAGTGTTTTTCGGCCTTGAATTGTCTCATTTGAAGTCACTTCCCAAATGTATGTATGTTTATACGAAATAAAAACATGTTGAAGTAGTTTCAGTCTCTTTTAATAACTGACAAGAAACTTGAAACCCAGATCAAGTAAACAATTACTACTTAAACTTCTTGTTATTCACAATTTCAAACTCCGAGGCGCATGCCGTATTTGCCGCCATGTTTGTTTAAGAGGCAACAGTGGCGGATAACTCTAAACAAAGTGAACGAGTCGGGTACTTCCTGTTATTTGCGCTGCGCATTTATAAACGGAATTCAATTACTAAACTATCTATAGTCACACATACTATCGATGCATCGATAGTTTTCGTTTATACCATCGATTAATTGCTATTGGAGACTCAACAAATGCAATCCATCGATAGTTCGATGCATCGTTACAGCACTAATTCGCCACATGTCCTGTGTGTTGTGAGTTGTATTGGCCATTTCTTCCATGAATTATACGTTTTAGCGACCATCTTCCCATCAGTTATAAACATTGTGTGAGGTGTCTGCGAATCCATAGCCTAGGGTGTACGCTGTATCGATACCATATCGATCGATTTTTCGTCTCGACAATCTGCCCGATGAATGACACAATCCTAATACCATGGGGGATTGTTATCCTCAAATTCTCAATCCGTATTTAAGTGTACGTTAGTTGCATCAATACGTTACTAAGTCCACATGTTGTTATGATAACGATCTGAAACAGTCAAATCCCATGTTGCGTCTAATCCGAGAACTGCGTCCTCGGTTCCAACAAACCAGATTCATTTACAAATTACTGGAAGGTTATCAAAGTCAACGTTCTCTTGGCAACGCCTAGCCCGGAGGTTATTCAACATTGCTGACGTGGTCAGGTGGGTCTTGGACAACATGCTTGTCTCTCGTCTGCTCGCTTCCAGTATTTGCCGCTTAAATCTTTTCCTCCTTCTCTCAGGGTCCATTAACTTCAATGTCCGGTTAATTTCTGGTTTGAGAGATTTCATATCAAACCCCGAGTGATAGTACCGCGTCTCTACAGTCAGACGGCGTGGCGGGACCAGGTCGGGATCCGGGTTACGGAGCGTCTGAAATTTTGAAATTTTGTAGTCATCCTGCACGACCTTCTTGAAGGCCTGTAGTTCCTTTAGGTGCTTGGACATCTTGTCTATGACACGAGACTGGGTGTTTTCAGCAGTCCTGCAACCCTTGTCGATGAACCGTGTTATCTTCTGCAATCTTTGTATCTCCGCTTCGTTTGCCTTGACCGCTCTTTCCCGTGTTGCAGTGCTGATGTTGAGGAGGGCGGAGTAGACGGTGCCGTTACCCATGGGGCAGCTGTACTTGTCCCGCAACAGATTTCTGTTGGTGGCCTGGGGCATTGTTCCTGGCGCTTGAGGAAGCCTAGAAGTACAAGCAACATTGTTGAACATACAGAATGAAATATGTTTAATATACAGAAGAACAAAAACAGAACGATCCAGTAAGAATCGGTCTTCAGTAACCCATGCTTGTCGTAAGAGGAGACTAACGGTATCAGGAGGAATCAGGTGCTTATTTGTATACGTACAACTGGCCTATTAATCTTTCACACCTGTAATACATGTACACACAATACAGGGCAATGATACTTATAAAAGTAAAATTTTAAAAAACTGTTTAAATTAACAAAGCTGATTTGTGAAATTTAGAAATAGTCAAACGCCTTACTTTAGAGCTTGGTGACGATACGTTTCCCTCTCCTGGCGACTAAGTGTTATTGAAATGAATGGGGACAGTCTGAATATCGCAAGAGCGTGACAATCATACGGCGCAAAAAGAGGACAAGCCGGGGTATTTAATATCACGTGCATGAGAGGTCCGTCCATTACGGAAATTGAGTTTTGCTGTTATAACCTGTAGCCTACTTCAGTCGTGAACTTGTACCGTTTGTGTTATGTGTGTACAATTGTAAAGTGTACTGGCTGAGTTATATGGTAAAAGGCGTAGCTTTATGCTTTGGTTGGTTGGTTTGTTGTTTCTTTCATTTGTCAGAAATACAATTCCTGTTTGGATTGCCACATAACAGTGTTTAAAACTGAAATTTATATATTTTATAATAATGATGGCCCATAGCCAACAATACTGCCGCTGTATCAGAGAGCAGGGTCACAACAAACCACGCCCATATTTCTAAAGGATCATGAAACAAATCTTAAAGGATAAGTTTGTTGTTTGGGCCGATCTCAGCAATATCCCAGCTATATGGCGGTGATCTGTAAATAATCGAATGTGGACCAGATAATCCAGTGATCAACAGCATGAGCATCAATCTACGTAACTGGGATACGATGGCTTTATACAGACTATTGATGTCTTTGGTTGCTCTTAAAAGAGCCAAAGTTGAGTATCGGGTGCGCACAATACATTTGCATTGAATTCCACCCATATCCAACCCTTGTTCACTGACAGAGGGAGTGCACGTTGCAGATGACCATACAACTAACCGCACGGATGACCGTACGGCGATCTCGTTCTCATGTATATCAATACACCGTGACGCAAAACAAGGTGTTTTGACCTAACAATCCAGTGATTAACATCATGAGCATTGATCTACGTAATTTGGATACGATGACATGCATCAACCAATCAGCGAGCCTGACCGTCCGATCCCGTTAGTCGCCTCTTACAACAAGCATGGGTAACTGAAGACCAGTTATAACCCTGATCTTCACGGGGAAATCGGTAAGATATAAGTAACGAAAGGCAATATGGACAAGGTAAAAGTACCAAATAGTAAATCACGAACAAGTATTTAAACATATAGTATTATGGCCCCGAAGTCAAAGGGCGGTAGGTGAGCCTAATGGTTCAATAATTCACTCGTCACGCCGAAGACCCGGGTTCGATTTCTCTCATGGGTCGCCATGTGGTCATGTGTATATATTATTGGACAGAAACGTATATATAGCATCGGATTCCATATTTGAAGACTGCATTCATGAAATCGATACCGCATTCATACTTATAAGAAATATTAAAAATGTTCCAATTCCTCATCGTCTCTTGTCCACAGCAAACGGACATCCGTCCTTGAGAAGATTCAACTGTAGGAACTCAAACCGACATCGTCAAAAACACAAAGCTCGAAAATGATGTAAAATTCGTAATTGGAAACGTAATTCCAAATAAATGAATGGAATGGTCCATGAGTAATAACAATTAAGTATTAAGAGTGATAAAGAATTACGTTGAAATCACCTTCCATTTTTGTGGAAGCCGCATTGGCTGAGTGGGCTAGACCGCTGACTTTGTGTGTTGAGGATTAGGTGCCTGACTCTGAGGGTGTGGGTTCGAATCCCGGTTGGGACTCAGCCTCACAAAAGTTCTAGAATCTGTACTTTTCTGAGATAGTGTAATCCCAAATATAACGTGTTACTTTTGACCACTTTGAAATGGCATTGTGAATTCAAAGTATGACAGTTTGTTATGTATTGCCACTGTTTTCATAGCCGTCGTCGATGCGGGATATCGCCATCAAAGTTCACGATAGACCTCTCACTGATCACACTATACCCCCAAGTCGAATATGTTGCATCCCATATGTGATATAAATATAATGAATTGTCTGTTGTATAAGTTTTGGTATCCAATATAGGAAGCTGTATCCAAATAGACATGACTATGACGCCTGTGAAGAACTGGGAGACTGGTGTAAAAAAGTATTGGTGACTAATATTGTTGATAAAAATATGCAGTGCACGTCATTTAACAACACATGTATTGTAACATACGGCATGGGGTATAGCGTGATGGCTAATATCACTTTGGGGTCATGAAGTGTGGGGTACTGTCTGACACCCCACCCTACCCACACTGAGGTACACACAGGAAAGTTGTCCGGAGCTGATGTACTTGTGCTAAGACCTTTTGTTTTTGTTAAACATGGATTTATTAATTTTGTATTTATTATTCTATTGGCATGTCGGCTCAGAAATGAAAATTCTACCAATCTATAACAGATAGATCTTATGCATGTCAATTTCTTTATTATAAAGAGGGTAGCCTAGTGGTTAAAGCGTTGGCTCGCCACGCCGAAGGCCCGGGTTCGATTCCCCAAATGGGTACAATGTGTGAATCCCATTTCTGGTGTCCCCCGTCGTGATGTTGCTGGAATATTGCTAAAAGCGGCGTAAAACTAAACTCACTCACATACATGTGTACTTACTTCTAAATGCCCTTCAGCTACTTGCAACCAACTTTTCCTAAAATTCATACTAAATGAATGGGATACATGGACTGATAATTCCCTCTTTGATGTAAACCGAGGCATAAACTGATAATAGGTAAAAGAGCTTTCACGTTAATGTTTTAATGAAAACGTCACTTACATGCTGGGCTGGACATGCTTACCCTTTTCGTGAACACCTAGACATTATCGTATAATTTCAGTGATCCTTTCATGTAACTTTCCCTACATTTGTTTCTGATGATAGTAGAGACTCGGTTTTCATTTTCACTGACATCCTTCATTGAAAAAAACTTGAAGTATTTGAAACTGTATTGTGTGTGCGTGTGCGTGTGTGTATCTGTATCTGGGGAAATGCTTCCATGCAATGGGAGGGAAGTGGCCCTATGATGAGTGAGTGATTTTAGTTTTACGCCGCTTTTAGCAATATTCCAGCAATATTACGGCGGTGGACACCAGAAATGGGCTTAACAGATTGTATCCATGAGAACACACCAGAGGGAATCGAAACTCCCCTATGATGAGAAAATCATTCTGAGAACACACCCAGAGGGATGTGATCCTTGGATGAGAACACTCCAGAGGGATGTGATCCTTGATCCTTGGATGAGAACACCCAGAGGGATGTGATCCTTGGATGAGGACACCCAGAGGGATGTGATCCTTGGATGAGGACACCCAGAGGGATGTGATCCTTGGATGAGGACACCCAGAGGGATGTGATCCTTGGATGAGAACACCCAGAGGGATGTGATCCTTGGATGAGATCCAGAGGGATGTGACACCCCAGAGGGATGTGATCCTTGGATCCTTGGATGAGAACACTCCAGAGGGATGTGATCCTTGGATGAGGACACTCCAGAGGGATGTGATCCTTGGATGAGAACACCCAGAGGGATGTGATCCTTGGATGAGAACACCCAGAGGGATGTGATCCTTGGATGAGTGATCCTTGGATGAGAACACTCCAGAGGGATGTGATCCTTGGATGGATGAGGGATCCTTGGATGAGAACACCCCAGAGGGATGTGAGGGATGTGATGGATGAGGACACCCAGAGGATGTGATCCTTGGATGAGACCCAGAGGGATGTGATCCTTGGATGAGAACACTCCAGAGGGATGTGATCCTTGGATGAGAACACTCCAGAGGGATGTGATCCTTGGATGAGAACACCCAGAGGGATGTGATCCTTGGATGAGAACACCCAGAGGGATGTGATCCTTGGATGAGAACACACCCAGAGGGATGTGATCCTTGGATGAGAACACTCCAGAGGGATGTGATCCTTGGATGAGAACACACTCCAGAGGGATGTGATCCTTGGATGAGAACACCCAGAGGGATGTGATCCTTGGATGAGAACACTCCAGAGGGATGTGATCCTTGGATGAGGACACTCCAGAGGGATGTGATCCTTGGATGAGGACACCCAGAGGGATGTGATCCTTGGATGAAAACACTTCAGACGCATTTGATCTTGGGGAGTGACCTGATCTTCCTTCATCAGATACACCAGACAATAAAATGCAGATATGGGATAAATGCGATAATGCTAAGTGCCCGTCAGGAAATTCTATTAACATCTGCGTGATACAAATAAATGGAGTAATTATAGTTTGTACATAAGTATATGTTATTCAGTGAGTGAGTATGGTTTTACGCCGCTTTTAGCAATATTCCAACAATATCACTGCGGGGGACACCAGAAATGGGCTTCACACTTTGTACCCATGTGGGGAATCGAACCCGGGTCTTCGGTGTGACGAGCGGACGCCTTACCACTTGGCTACCCCACCGCCCCATATGTTATTCAGACATATAGTGACAGATAAAACTAAGTTAAGGAGCACGCACAATAATAAAGAGGGACATTTAAGGAAACTGATGATGTACTTCAGAAAGCAGATCCTTAACATTTATGCAGGGAATATACCAACAGGAATAGAAGACATTTTAGACCCTTTGGATAAGACAGTGGGAACAAGTAAACAGCGCCCGGCAGGTAAAAGCGGAAAATAAACTTAAGGATATTTGAAAATACAGAGTTTATTCAAACATGATATTTTAAATGAACACAATCAATTTGACTTGGTAAACGCTCCGGGACCTTACAATTACTTAATCTATTCTTTTCAAAATACACTCTGA